CAACCAAGGTACATGCCCTTGACCGGAATCGAACCCGGGACCCTTCAGTCCCCAAGCCGACGCTCTATCCATTGAGCCAAACCGGTCTCAGCCTGATCCAAATTATTTTAAAGTCAACAAAATCTTTCTTATAATAATTAAGCCACCTTTTCAAATTTGTTGGAGTATTGCCAAACAGACTATTTTAAATTAGTTTGTTTCCTACTTTACCATTTAATGGATAAATTGTTTCTTCCAATTACAAAGGGCTTTTTGCTTGGGATTTTAAAATTCCAGTGAATTAGTGAATTCTTTTTTTTTCTTCTTCCTTTTTTATAATTCACAGGACTCTGCAGCCCCTGAGGAAGATATACTCCTAAAATCTGACGGAGAGATCCTCATCAGTCCCTACTTGCTATGGAAAAGAACAAAAGGATGAAATTAGTCATTGCTGGATAGCTACTTTTAAAAATCTACTTTACTGAAGAATAACATAATGTACAGAAACTTAATTCCATTTAAGTATAGAATTTAATAATTTGGGCAGTTGTATACACCTGCAATGAAGATACAGAACATTCCCACCACTTCCCAAAATTTTTCCCGCCCTTCTCCAGTCCAACTTCTGGTCCCTGTCACCAGGCAACTACAGCTCTGGGGTCTATAAATGAATTAATTTTTCCCCAAGTAGATATTCAGGTGTTCCAGCACTATTTCTTTAAGGGAGTTTCTCATTGAAATCCTTAGATGCTTTGTCAAACTTTAACTGATCATTCATATCTGGATCTATTTCTAGACTCTCTCCTGTTGACCTATATGTGTCTAGTCACACTGTCTTAAAACTGCTGCTTCACGATGAGTTTTGAAACCAGGTGCTATAAATTCCCCAACTTTATTATTCTTTTTAAAAAATTGCTCTGGCACTTATGATTTAATGAAACTTTTGTATATTTATATTTTATGCCATAAAATGCAATTTGCTTTTAATAATGGTAATTTTTACGTCTTAAACACTACCATTACATCAAAACAGTAATAAAGAAAATGGAATCTTTGTTATGATTATTTGATAGACTAACCAGTGATACATGGATATTAACATTCAAGAACCCCACTGATGAAAAGCTATAATATTTAAACGTGAGCTTTCTGAAAACTTACTTTATGAACACAGGCAATTTACTTAGCCTCCAATAAGCCCAGCTTCCTCATTTCTATCATGTCATCTATCTCACGGGTTATTGTGTGGCTCCTGAGATAACATGTGAGCACTTACAACACAGTTGGTACACAGTAAGCACTCAATTGTTAGCTGTTAATAGTATCACAGTGGGTCAGTATAGCACATCTTGGATATATAAGAACTTTTATAAATAAGATCAGAGGAGAGTATTTTATAAATGATGATTGGGGAAGGCTGTTAAACAAATGTGGAATATTTTTTACACTATGATTTTTACATATTTCATCTTGGAATTCATTTTTAAAGTGAAACTAATTGCCAAAATTAATCACACCACATTATTTTTTATATTTAAATAACAAACAAAAAGAGTTTTACATCGGTAATGACATTAAGAGAGTATTGTCTAATTCTCCAGTGGTTTTATACCTGGAACCTGCTAACTCCCTCCTCATCTCATTCTCCTCCTACAAAGTCTGCTGGCTTTGCTCATTCCTTTCCTTCTAGGAGTAGAAAGCCTGTATATCAACTTAGCATTTTATTCAACAATGCAATGAAAATTTACATTTGTAGTGGTGTAACCTATTAAAAATCAGAATTTGATTATCATCTCCATTAATACCAGGGAGTTAGAATTTCTCTAAAAAATAAACTCATCCGCCCTAAAAGGTAAATTTCCTAGAGGCCAAATCTAGGAGCAGGGGTTGAGTTTTTCTTACAAATGACACTCAATATCGAAGCATTTTCTTTTTCTAATTGTATGTTTTAGCCAATTTTGAAATGTTTAAATGATTTCATTAATAAAATACTAAGAACTTAACATGGAATCAATGATTAGTGTTTGAGTGTACACTGATAGATATTTGGACTCTAAGGAAACATGCTTTAAATAAAATTTAATTGCATGCTAATAAAACAACTTTGAGGCTAGCCAAATAATGAAATCTCCTGCCTTAGAGATTTTTGATGACAGAGCAGGGAACATTTGGCAATGTCTGGAGACTTGTTTGGTTGTCTTAAGTGGGGAGGAGTGGGAGGTGCTCCTGGCATCTAAGAGTAGAGCCAAGAAGGCTGCTAAAGATTCTGCTGTGCCCAGGATGCCCCACAACAAAGAACTATTTGGCTCCAATGTCAACAGTGTGAGAAAACCTGACATATGATTACCTTTCTCGATGAATTCCAAAACCACCTCATTTTCTAAATGTGCAGACTAAAATAAAAGGAATAGAAGGACCCTAATGTTTCTTCCTTTTGATTCTTCTTATAAGCTTTGCCTCTCTTCAAATAAGAACTATGCAAGAGCACATGAAAGCAAATATGAGCTGTAGTACTTTTTTTTGGAATGTGCTCTTAAGAATCTGTTTCTTTCTTTCTTTTTTAAATATATATTTTATTGATTTTTTACAAAGAGAAAGGGAGAGGGATAGAAAGTTAGAAACATCAATGAGGGAGAAACATCCATCAGCTGTCTCCTGCACGCCCCCTACTGGGGATGTACCCGCAACCAAGGTACATGCCCCTGACTGGGAATCGAACCCAGGACCCTTCCGTACGCAGGCTGACGCTCTATCCACTGAGCAACACCAGCTGGGGCAAGGATCTGTTTCTTTCATCAGTTGTTAGTATGATTCTCGCAGCACAGCTACATCCTGACCTAGAGTCGACCCCTTTAATTGGGATATGCTTTCTATGTGAGTTATTAAATTGGAGTGTGAATAAATCTGAGAGGCATCTAATTTTTAAATAATGGCAGGCTCACTTTCTAATTTTTTTGATTGCTAAAAATTGCTTCTGTTTAAGGCAGCTATATCTGAAAAGGGAACGCTAATGACTGTACAAGACACAGTGTTCTTAAGAACTCACATTAATCCAGTAATGTTTTCCTAATTTTCAAGTACTTATATCTAGTAGAGGTGAAATGCTGAACCTATTATAACTGAAAGAGAAGGAAGAAAACAAATTAGGTAGCAACTAGCTCTTAGATTTTTATAAGCTATGCATTTCATTAAGCAGATTTTTCTGGCCTCCATATCCCACTACTCTGAGCTCCTCTGGAGGTTATGGTCTTGTCAATGTCATTAAATTCCTGGCAAGAACCATTTGATAAATGATTCCAACTGAGTTTCAATTGGATATATCCAACTGAGTTGCAATTGGATAATTAAAGCAATCAATGAAAAATGAATCCTTTTACATTTTTATTCCATTTGCTTAGTGCATCTTGAAATGGGGGAAAATTAGATAGGAATTTAAAGAACAACTCATCTGCTAGGCATTGAGAAGCTGCATATAGAATGAGCAATAAGCCATTCTGTTTCCAGGCTCTGGATCCATTCTGGAAATACATTTTCTCTCAGAACCTTGTATCTTTAAGTCGTTGTAATTATCTCTAAAATTCTTTTGCTTTATTTTGCTTACTTCCCGAGTTCTCTCTTTTGTTGGATACTGTTGACACCTAGCAGGGACCTTGAAAGATGTGGAGGTGTTTGGATTCTTGAAAGAAGCTCTATGCTGCACATTTTACTGGAAAGTCATAAGAGGAACTACACATAGGAATATAAAGGTAGAGCTTTGGGATATTCAAGGATCCAAACACTTAAAGCAGGAAGGATATTTCTGCTTGAAATGCTGGGTAAAGGAACCACTCAATACCATTATTTTTTTACAAACCTACCATGTAATAGGTACCCCATCCATATCATAGCTCTATGCCTTACAAAACTGTAACTAGATATTTCCATTTTGCATATGAGAAAACAGAGTTTATTTGCCCAAAGTCACACAGAGGTGGCAATTGTATTTGAACCCAGATTTGTCTGCTCAGAGTTTAATGCGCCTCCTAGCTATTCTGCTATGCCTCCAGGGAATGTTTCAGACATCTGACCTACCCTGTTCATTAGAGTGGCCGTTAGTTAAATGAGGCTAGTCTGAACTGAGATGTGCCACAAAACACACTGTTTTTGAAGACTTACATTACCCAAAAGAGTAAAATAACTCCATAATTTTAAAATATGTATCTCAAGCAGAAATGAGATATTTGGATTTATTAAATAATATGTATTATCAAAATTATTTAATAAATTAGTTTTTGTTTTAATGCAGCTACTAGAAAGATTACACAGGTGGCTCACGTTATGTTTCTGATTCAGATTATTTAGCTCTGATTTAGATTATTTCTCTTAGGTTCCCAAAAGTAAAATTTTAGGGTTTCAAAGGGATATTTTCAGGAATTTAAATCATCAATAGTTACTCAATACTTCTTTACTGTTTTCTAAATGTAATAAACAGAAATCTTAAATTTCCTAGACAGAAAGCACTTGATATTACACTGGTTAAATGGTCATCTGGTCATCCTATAGAGGGGCTAGAGCATTCCACAATAAGCTAATTATAGTAAAGGCATAATCAGTGACAGTGATCATGTTTTGTACCTCCCAGTTCCACCAGTTCCTAGAGTCATTTCAGGCAGGGGTAAGGTTATGTATGTGTTGATCATGAATCAGAGTACATGCTACTACGTCTCTGGGTTACTTCTGATCATAATGTTCTAGAATAGTGGTGGATATGGTGATAAATGCCAACAAATAGAAATAAATGGATGCTTTTACATCCTTAAAGACTCAAAATCCCATCACTGTGGTAGGTTGTGTGTGGGCCAGTAAACTCTCCAGAGAACTGTATTTAAGATTAAAAATAACAAAGCTGTTTTCTTTCACTGTGTGCTTATGAATTACGATGTGTCCCTTAAACAATGACAAAAAGTCACCTCCTTTTCAGGCACATAAGTTAATCATGATTAAGTAAGCCTTAGTTATGAAAAGCATATTTTTCCCCCCCAAAGTATAAGGTAAGAGAAAATTTTGTTTGCAAACTGAGCTATTTAGTCTTCTGAAACTACAAAGTGCAGGTAGGTAATATAGTAAAAAGCATGATTAGTGAATGACTTCTACAGATAGAAGAGTCTAGTAAATACTGAGTAAAAAGGAAGCAAATGATATAAACTCTGCCCTAAGGGATAGAAGGGATTCCCATGCACTAGTTTATAGTGTTGAGGCCTGAAAACCAGGAAGTAGTTACATGTCAACTCACCTCCTGGTCAGAAAAAAGGTGGCTTCTTCGGCCCTATACAGTACTTAAGTGAAAAGCTTATATAAAATCATGGATGCAACTCACTCCCAATTAAGAAAGGAGCCATGGGCTCTTTGCCTTCCAGATAACCAGGCAGCCTCATTTAGCAGTCTACTGAAATAGGACGGGTCCTGTCATACTGTCTGTCATGTGGTATCACTAAATTGGGTCAGATGAAATACAAAGCAACTCTCACTTTCTGCCAAAACCCTTATATCATAGATATTGATATTCTGAAACCCAGGCCTCTCCTTGCCAGATATCACAAAGCAACTGAAGTTCTCTTAACTCTTGAGACCAGTTTGTCACAATATTCAGTCCTACATTACCTTGAACTTTTCAGAGATTCTCCAATTTTGTTCTAATGTAAAAACTGCCACACATATTTGATGAAACAACGTTACTTACTCTAGGGTGATCGGGTTACAAGTGCTGACTCAAAATAGACAGACCTTGGTTGACATTGAAAAAAATATAATTGAAATAAGGGACCACTGATTTAGTGCCCTTTGTCTAGTGTTAGTTCTGGTGTCGAGAAGATACGAGAAAAGCCTTCAGGAATAGTCACAGAGGGCTTGGTAGTCAATGGGAAACTGCTGCTGGAGAGACCAGGAGAGCAGACACTTAATAAATGTATGCTGGATGAACAAATATGCTCTGGATTCAAGGGTGCTATATACAGTTAAAAAAAAAAATTCATGCCTTTTTTGTTGTTGTTCAAAACTTTTGTTTTTTTAATATTTATATTTATGCTTTTGTCACTATTCTCACTGTGACTTAAAAAAAAAAAAAAAAAAAAAAAAAAAAGCCTGAGCCACTGTGCGGTTCTAGCCCCAATATAATCATCATCCCCTCACTCTTAGAATTCCTTTTCATTTGTCACTTGGCCTTTGTATGGTTTGTATAAAAAGAGGACCCTGGAAAATCAATACTTCCTGTGAACTTGAGAAGCTAGAAGAACAGTGCCCAAATAGGCAGGTAAAACCAACAGGGCAGCAGATATATTACAATCTCTTGGACCAAGGTATAGTTGTAGGCATGTCTAAAAGTCATGCTAATTCACCAATAGAATAAAGATTATATAGGTGGACCAGGGTGAGGTAGGACTATCCTCAGGTCTGGGTGAATTGTGGTAGGAGAGGCAGTATATAACAATCATTGATTAAACACCCAGCTAACTACTTTCCTAAAATTCTAGGTTCCAAAACACAAAGATCTAGGTTATTGACTTTATTTAACTTCTGAAAATTCAAGTCACTACGTTAGTTCTTATGGTTTAAAATGAAAGCAAATGGCTATGACAGCTGAACTGCACCAGTATACTTAAGACTTTTAAATTGAATTCTGAGTTGCTTTACCTTATAAAAATACATGTCATTATACTAAATATTCAACAAAAATTCAGGATGGGGATATTTAAAAATACATTTCCCTTGGGTCAGCACCAAAAATATCATTAGTTTTCTGTACAACTCGGGGCAAATTTTTAAGTATAGATAAGTTAAAATTTTTCTGATAAAAACCACACACTCCACAGAAACCAGTAAAGATATATCCAAACAGCTTTCAAATACATTTTGACATCAAGGTCAGGCAATTCACTTGGATATAACGAGTACCACTGAATTTTTGTAGTAAAGACTTTTGATGTCAACTTTGTCTTATCGGGGTTTTTGACATCTCATAGAAAGGAGGCACTGGTACTAAATGATTAGAATCGTTAAGACTGAGGTGAAGAATTTGTGCAACCTTCCACAATTTCAAAGAGGTAGTGATAGGTACTTGTCCTCCTGGCAATATCAAATGCAGTTTCTTCCAAGTTGTTTCTCAGACCGGGTTTGACGTAGCGGTTCATCAGGAGGAGTTCTAGGATATCTTTGTTGTCTCTGTTCCCAGCAGCAAGGTGTAAGGGGGTCAAGAGGCCTTTTGTCTGGGCATTGATATCTGCATCATGCTGAAGTAGGAAAGAAGCTACTCTAGTATTATTCCACTTACAAGCGCTGTGCAGGGGTGTCCAGCCATCCATAGTCACCGCATGAACATCTGCTCCTTGTGCAATTAGCTCACGGACAACCTCTAAGTGTCCACTGTAGGCTGCTCGGTGAAGAGGGGTGTACTCATCTTCATCTCGGGTGTTCACGTGAGTGGCCTTTTCCGAAAGTAGTCTCCGCACGGTAGACAGCTGAAAAGAAAAAGAAGATATTTAAAAAACCCAACTCAAAACAAAACAGTAAATCGAGAAAATTAAACTGTCTAGTGATTGACGTTCAATAAAAACTTGTTAGCAGGTGACTTTAAAATGAAAACAAGATTTCATTTTTGGAGGGAGAGGGTCAACGGTTTAAGAATGAACCAGTTAGTGTTAACCATAAACTGTTGATTCTAAGAATGTGATTCCCTGAATATCAAACCATATATTTATGTCCAAGACCAACTAAATGTATAAAAGCTTTAGTCCTAGATGAATAATTGTATTTAATCTTTTATATGTCACCTGTAAAGAAAACATAACAACAGGCTGACTTTTTTCTGAGGAGCAGCACACCAATGACATAACATATAAAACTTTATGAAATAAATTTCTTTATCAGAGTGTAATGGTATTAAACAGCTCAATTCCTTCTAACTAAAGCAACCTAAGACATGTTTCAAGGAAGTTTGGTCTATGGGCCTGTGGTGGAATACAGTGTGCTCTTGGGTTAAAAAGTTATGCAAAAATGCAAGGCATTTTACTTATTAGTTTATTAAGACACATGAGGGAACTTAGTAAAATTAGGTAAAAGTAGCTGCCTGGGAAGAACAGACTTTTAAAAAATATTTTATTAATTTTTTACAGAAAGGGAGAGGGATAGAGTTAAAAATATCGATGAGAGAGAAACATCAATCAGCTGCCTCCTGTATACTCCCTACTGGGGATGTGCCCACAACCAAGGTACATGCCCTTGACCAGAATCAAACCTGGGACCCTTCAGTCTGAAGGTCCATGCTCTATCCACTGAGCCAAAATGGTTAGGGCGGAAGAACAGACTTTTAATGTTAAGTCAGACTACCCTGTTTGGATGATCCTGGGCAAATTAATATTCCTGAAAATCTCAATTTATTTTAAAAAATATATATTTTATTGATATTTTACAGAGAGGAGGAAGGGAAAGAGATAGAGAGCTAGAAACGTCAATGAGAGAGAAACATCGACAAGCTGCCTCTTGCACACCCCCTACCGGGGATGTGCCCACAACCAATGTATATGCCCTTGACCGGAATTGAACCTGGGACCTTTCAGTCCACAGACCGATGCTCTACCACTGAGCCAAACCGGTTTTGGCAAAATCTCAATTTCTTACTCTGTAAAAGGGAATATTACTTATCTTTAGGGATATGAAAGGATTTAATAAAATAATAAGGCATATGGTATAGTTGGTATCCAATAAATGTTAGTTCCCATCCTCCTTTTCCTAAATAATAGTTATTTTTAGGATGATTCTAACAATATAAATGATTTAAAAATACTGATGATTGCTTGTGATCTTCATAGTTAATTATCCTTAAAGTCCCCCAAATACCTAATTTGACTTTTTGTAGCTTAACATATACTTTCATGTACATTGCCTCATTTGATCCTCAAAACCTTGCATAAAAGAGGCAGGTATTAAATGACCACTTTTACTGATAAGAAAATAGAGATTCAGAAATAGTAGGATTTTCCCAGAGTTACGGATCAAATAGAGGCTCAAGGTCAGGTCTTCTGGCTCCAAATTTTCCTGTTATATTATGGTTTCTTCCCTGTTTGTTTACCCGATTTTTTTCAGCAGCCCAAAGAAGCAATTTGCTTGGATCTTTTTCCATCTTTTTTTCTTGGAGTTGATACCACTCTTCAGTTTCTTCATCTTGTTCCTCTTCTTCATCAGAATTCCCTACCCAGAGACTTTGGGTACCAGTGGGGATAAGGTGTCCATGTGTTTCCAACAACTCAAGTTGGTTAAAGTGTTCAGAAATGTCCAAGGAATTCTCTGGGTCTGGTTGTCCATCATCATTTACTTTCTCCTTTTCCATTTTTACTACTATTCTACACACAAAGCATTTCAAATACCAGCATATAAATAATCTTTTTAGAGATGAATTATGTCTGCTTTATTTTATTCATCAATATCTGAAAAAACAAACAAAAATTATTAGGAAAAGAGCAATTGAGGTTTTATCAACATCATATATGTCTTACAAACACACCCAAATAAACCTTGTCTAAACTCTTTGGTGTTTATTGATACTCTTTATATTCACTAGATATTAGAGTTGATAGATTTCATTTGTCTATATATTTAATAACCTAATATTTCTTTTTTGTTATTGTTTGCTTCTACTAAAAAAGTGGTTATAACTGTAGAGTGGTTATAACTGTACAGTCATATCTCATTTTATTGTACTTCACTTTATTATGCTTTACATATACATATATATATTTTTTACAAATGGAAGGTAAGACCCTCCACCAGCAAAAAGATTACTATTTGCTTCAATGGGATGGTTTGGAACTAAACCCACAATATCTCTGACTTATGGGTGTATTTATTTTGAACCTATTGGTTTAGATACTGTTGTATTATGCTAAGAGTGATAAATGCTTAAAGCTTCTAAACTGTAAATAATAAAGACAGGTACATTTTAAAAATACTCACCCGAGGATATGCTTATTGATGTTGGGAAGAAAGAGAGAAGGGGAGAGGGGGAGAGAGGGAGAGAGGGAGAGAGGGAGAGAGAAAGAAAGAGAGGGAGAGAGGGAGAAAGAAACATAGCTGAGAGAGAATGGATTGGTTGCCTCCGGTACATGGCTCAACCAGGAATCGAACCTGCAACGTAGGTATGTACCCTGACAGGGGATTGAGCCTGCAACCTTTCAGCATACAGGATTATGCTCCAACTGAGACACATCGGCCAGGGCAAGCCAGACACATTTTAATAAAATACGCTCCTAGATGCTATAAGAGGACAAAAAACTTCTACTAAATAAAAACTACTTAAAAGAATCAGGAATTTAGAGACAGAATAGCCCTCAAAGGACATGTATCCCAAACTCTTCAGTGCAGACATCTTTATCATGACATCTGTAATAGTTATTCTATTTCTACTTAACTAATTTCAGGCTTGGGAAAATTCATTGCTTTAAAAGTAGTCATATTCATTGATACACAACTATAATTCTTAATTAGCTTATTGTTCTGAAACTGAATTTTGCTGTCACTCATGCCTTCATTTAACAAATATGAATAGAATGCCTGTCTCTGGGTACCAGGATTCAATCATGAACAAGATCCACATCGTAATCTCAAGAAGCTTACTGTAAAGTTGTATGTCAATTGTAATTGAAAAATACGTTTAAAAAAATACAATTTTTAGCCTCCCAACTATATTTGTTTGGATCCTTATCTTTTCAAGGCTCTTCTCTGATGTTAATTCTTTCATTAAGTCTGTCTTACTCCTCAAATTAGATCTCTCTCAAATTCTACATTTTTTTGTGTGTGCTATATAGTGTCTTATTTCACCACTAATTTCGTGTTTTGGCTTCTTAAAATATAGTAAGTTTAGGTATAGGGACTATATTTAATTTACAATCATGTGTCACTTAAATACAGCAAGAAATATTGTAGAATTAAATTTAATTAAGGGCCCATCACTTGATTTTGACTGAAATGGATTTGAGAAGTTGGAGAATTAGTCATACCCCTAAAAGACTTATTTATTTCTAATTTTACAAGTTTAAGAGTATAGAGTCCTAATGCATTAGATTTTATTAGTAGTGCAAAGAGCATTAAACTCGAGTTTAAATCTATCACTCATGTTTAGTACCTTCTCTGGGCCTGTTATTTTATTTTAAAATGTAATGATTTTAGAAAGAATTCACAGGTCTGTCCAGCTTTCAGTCTATGAGAGACATTATCAGAATTGCTTTATGTTTTTTTTTTAATATATTTTATTAATTTTACACAGAGAGGAATTGAGAGGGATAGAGAGTTAGAAACGTCAACCAGCTGCCTCTTGCACACCCCCACTGGTGATGTGCCCGCAACCAAGGTACAAGCCCTTGACCGGAATCGAACCCGGGACCCTTCGGTCCGCAGGACGACGCTCTATCCACTGAGCCAAACCGGTCTCGGCTGCTTTATGTTTTAATAGTTCTCACTTTTTTCTTCATTCTCAAACTATTCCCCGAACTTTGCAACACAAAAATGACCATACATTTAACCATGAAACAATAAACACCAGTAAATAACAAAATTAACTAGTTATCATATCAATTTAAGGACAGATCTCATGGGTCACCTCTCCTTTTTATAAAGTCTCTCTTTTTATAAATTTTGAATTTACTGCTCTGGATACAGTAAATTGCACATTAACATTTTCTTGGTGGATTTAGTCTAAACAGTTAAAGCCAGATGCACTCACTGGTTCAGGATTTTTCTTTTCCATATACTATAAACTTGACATAATACAAAACTTTAAACTTAACGAAGAAAATGAAAATATGCACCTTTTATAGGTCAAAGAAAAGCAAGTCTTAGCATTTGGATTCATCTGCAACAAAACAAAACAAAACAAAAACAAAACTCCCAAATATATTAAGAGGTACAAACTGTGCTACAGCAGATCTAAAAGAAGTTGTACAGAGTCCTTTTGAAAAAGTTAAAACTATTTCTAAGATTACTTTTCATATTTAAATGTACAGGCATTAGCCACTTTACAAATATTTACACAACCCCAAACAATCTTAACAAACACTAGCTTTTTCAGCAGCCACCAATACTTCTTCAGTGGAAAAGAAACACTAAAAAAGTATCTTTACAAACATTAAGCTTTTATTTATAATGATTTTATGTCTTACCCTAAAACATTTCATTAGGGACTTACTGCCTAAAAATTCCAGTTGATTACAATCCTATAATTGCACACAGAAAAAAAAATCTGATATGATCAATAGGTTATAATCTCAACTTTGAGTTTTCAGTTTCTGTTGTTTCACGTCATGTGGAAAATAAAAGCACAAAATGGGAAGTAAAGCTAAAATGCATATTGCACTAAGCTACCATAAAGCGTAGGGGACTTGATCTTTTCAAAATGTCTACAATGAATTGATTTTTAAAACAATTCACTAACTGCTGTTCAATACAGAGTTAGCGCTCATATTACTACAGTGCAAAAAGTACTGCTGCCCACCCCCCAAAAAAATTTTTTTTGAAAGCAATCTCGAGTACATCAAAAGCATCTGAGGCACTAATGAAATGCTAATACAGACTCGCGTATAGCTTTTATCCTGGAATCAAGGGAAGACTTAGGGCAACTGTCCTGGTTCAGGATTTAAAAAGCCAATCAGGATCCTTGGTGATATTCCACTAGGGAGAAATGGGGTGTGTTTTGTTTTGTTTTAAACAGGGCGTTTCTTAACCTAATGGACACATAAATGACAGGTGGGGCCAGAAACCCCATTTTACAGGTGAAGGAGCTGAGGTTGGAATAGATGGAAACAACTTTGCCCCTAGATTAAGAAACTTCAATAGAACCCGAAAGCCCAGATTTTCTAAATGAAAAGTTTCACTTCTTTCTGAACTGCACTAGACTACTGCTGTCAGCACAAAGCAATACGGATGTGCTAAATCCGAGGTCAAACGCTAAGGGGAAACAGCGAAAGGACTATGGTCTGAATGTTGAACCTCTGGGGATGGGAGGAAGGGGGAAGGCCACCAAGCCCCGGCCCTCCGGCACCGACTGGTCACTCCACAGGCCCGGCGTCGCTCCCCCGGCCGGCCTTGGGAACAACCGAAAGCAGAGTAACAGCTCCAGCCCCACCTAGAACCCGAGACGCGGCCGGCTGGCGGGGGTCGACAGGTGACCCGCCCCGAAGGGGCCAGGAGATCTCCGATGGCGCAAGGAGACCAGGAAGAGCCAGGAAGGGTCACCCACCTTACAGAGGGGAATTCGCCGCCGCACACCTCGCTTCCGGGGTTCGTCCCCTCGGCTGCTCAGGATTGGCTCCTATGCGGGGGCGGGGCCTCGCCGCTAGTTTCCAAGCGCCCTCACGGAGCCCGCCAGCCAATGAGAGCCGAGGAGGGCTGGAAGCGCTTACGTCATCCACGAGGTATCGCGAGAGGGAGAGGCCGGGCATCCCTCTCGCGCCCAATTCAGGTGTACGTCCAAGCAGTTCTCAGAGGCGAGTTCTGGCCGGGCTGTTGCGTTTTATTTTTTCTGCTCACGAATCGCCCTCCTTACTGGGTAAAAGACAGCCTCAGTCCCGATGGCGTGGCTTTTGGAGAGACTTTAGAGTGGGGTAATTTACTAGGAGTCGTACCCGCCTCCTGTATGTGCAGGATCTCGGGCGGAAGCCCAGCGTGGCGAGCCCACTGGGAAGAATGGGCTGGGTGGGCTGGGAAGGAGTCCTAGGGGTTCCGCGTTCTGCTTCTAAGTGTCTGGTGGCGGCGGCGTGTGGAGGCTTGGATTCCCGGCACTGGGAATCTGGACGTGGGAGAGGTGGTTCAGCTCTAGCAGCCTCTCCTCTCCTAGGCTGCCCACTGGTTCCGCTGGCACCTGGCAGCGGAGGGTACTTCTCCCGCGGACCACGTGCTTCTGTTTATTTGCACCGGCTTTATTGGTGGGGCTATTCTCTTTCCAAAACTACCCCATTCCTTTGGTGTTTGAGCCGGAAGTGGCCTCCATGATGCAGAGTAGCCTGTCCAATTCCTTGAACATTCTTGTTCGTGTGCTAAACCAGAACCACATTTTGCCCACTAACTTAACGGTTTCCCATAGTTTTAGGGAGATGGTTGATGGAATGGCAACTAGAGCTGTGCTCTTAAAAAGTACAGTAGGTGCTTAGATGAAATTGGACTCTTCCACTGTTGCTAGTCTGCTCTTTTAAAATGCGTGTTTTAAAACAATATAATTTTGTTTTTAGAATTTGGAATCGAGTTTTCTGAACCGGGGATTGCTTGGAGAGAAAACTGGTCCTAGAGGAACTGGACTGACCGTAGAAATGAGTCCTGCAGATGCCCTGTAAGCACTTGTCTTCTGGAATCTTTTTCTGTTGCTATGGTTTTTTTAAAGCCCATCAACTAAGATCACCCCAAAAGAAAACGTATTTAATAAATTAGCAGTAAGTAGCTTAACTGAGCAGAAGTGATAATCATCGTAAATAATATTTGGACTGTTTAAAAAGTCATACTAGATGTTTATTAACTGAAAGATGGGGTCTTGCAGTAGTGTGATTATGTTGCTATATTATGTAAGTTTATGTTTCTTAGGTTTGTCTTAAAATATATTCTTGAGCTTTAAATATTCTTGAGCTTTCATGGTAAAGTCTTACTAGTCAAGGCAAGTCTGTTGAAGCAAATTTTTAGATGAGTAAATTGCTCTAGTACTGAATAAATTGGAAATGATTTTGAGCAAAAAAAATAGGTAAAAGGACAAGGAACAGGAAGGTAGAAAAGCTTTAGACTTGGAGTCTTTCACCCTGGTTTTAATTTCTTAATTAATACTATGACTTTAAGCAAGTTAGCAATTGTCTAAACTTTGCCTCAGTTTCTTCATTTGTATAATTGGAATAAAAATGTCTTTCTCAGATTTATTTTGATGTTTAAGTGAGAGAATCATATGAAAGTAATTCATAAGTTGCTGTGGAAGCATTGGATAGTAACATGAGTTGAAAGTATTCAGATCTGCCTCTGTGTACATAGCAATCAGAACTGTGTGCATATCATTTTTAAACGTTCTGAAGAGAAATCTTTTCTGGAAGAATCTCTTGCACGTAAAGATTTGAAGTGTATGTGTGAGTGTGTAAAATATGTATTTTGAATTATATATACATATACATGTATATCATATATAATAAAAGCCTAATATGCAAATCATTCAAATGGTGGAACCACTGGTCGCTATGAAGCACACTGACCACCAGGGGCAGGTGCTCAATATAGGAGCTCCTCCCTGATGGTCAGGGGGTTCCCACAGGGGAAGCGCTGGTCAGCCAGAAGTTGGGCTCATGGCTGGCAAGCCCAGCATCAGTGGTGGGAGCCTCTCCCGCCTTTGTGACAGCACTAAGGAGCAGTGAGCTGAGTGGTAAGGAGCGAGGGGTACCGGAACTGCGAGAGGGCACAGGCCAGGCTGAGGGACACCACCCCTCCGCCCTGCACCCCCCTACCCATCCTACAAATTTTGTGCACTGGGACTCTAGTATATATTATGGATAAGTGAAAAATAACCTGAATTTTAAAATGGGGTTTTAATCCTATTTCACTTAGTTGTGCAATAATTAATTTCTCTGTGTTTAGTCTTCTTTTTTTTTTTATTTAAATCAATTTTTATTGTTCATATTATTACAAAGGTTCCTCATTTCTTCCCCCCTCCACCAGGTTCCCACCCCATCCTCCGCCCCCTCCCCACCCCCCATTGTCCTCATCCATAGGTGCACAGTTTATGTTCAGTCTCTTCCCGAATCCACCACTCCCCCTTTCCACAATAACTGTCAGTCCACTCCCCTCCTGTATCTCCAACTCTACTACAATCAACAGCTAATATTGTTCATCAGGTTTTTCAACCTCCTTTTGTTGTTGTTGTTGTTGTTTTTTAATTAATAAACTTTTACACTTCTAAGAATAAATTTTAAAATCTAATAATTATAAACCTTGTTTTTTCTGCCCTGGGAATTGAGAAGCAAACTTGTATACATGTAAACTTGCCCTTAGGCTATCAAAAGGTATAGCCATTCAAATGTAAATGAACACATTGTTTAAAGATAGCTGTTAGTTGGAAATGGATTACCTGTTCTGGGTGGGAAGGGCTTGTCTTCCCCTTTCTCCATTAAAATTAGGTGTTAGCTTTAAAATCTCTTTTTGGCAAGAGACCTTAAACTTTTAGAACTTCAAATTTTTCAGATAGTAAATCAGTTACTTAGCATTTTCTCAAATCAATAATACCTCCACATGCCCAAGGATACACTTCACACAAAAGACATTTCTAAATAGATCAACTAACCTCATCCAGACCCCACACAAGGCACTCACAGATCAACACCCCAGCGCTATACTAACTCAACACATCCAGATCTAAGCCTTCATCACTTGATTCAGCAGACCCTCAAGTTCCCCCAAAAGTTTCCAGCCATGTCTGAGAGGCAGCCCTGGGGCGTGGGCAGGCGAGGAGCTATCTGTTCCGGGCCTAGCCTCTGTTGCTCTGGTCTGCTCCATAACCTGCCGCTCCCGGCCTGGCTGCTGCTGCTCCGGGCCTGGCTGCTCCCGACCAAGCTGCTCTGGGCCCGGCTGCTGCTGCTGCTCTGGGCCTGGTTGCTCTCGACCCGGCTGCACTTGGCCCAGCCACTCCGGGCCTGGATGCTGCTGCTCTGGGCCTGGCTGCTCCCGACCTGGCTGCTCTGGGCCCCGGATGCTCCGGGCCCGGCCACTCCAGGCTTGGCCGCTCCCGACCTGGCTGCTGCTGCTCCGGGCCTGGCTGCTCCTGACCCGGCTGCTCCCAACCTGGCTGCTCCAGGCCAAGCCGCTTCGGGCCTGGCCGCTCCCGGCCTGGTTGCTGCTGCTCTGGGCCTGGCTGCTCCAGACCCGGCTGCTCTGGGCCCAGCTGCTCCTGACCCGGCTGCTCTGGACCCGGTTGCTCCGGGCCCGGCACTCTGGGCCTGGCCACTCCTGACCTGGCTGCTCTGCGTTTGGTTGCTGCTGCTCCGGGCTTGGCTACTCCCGACCTGGCTGCTCTGGGCCCGGCTGCTCTGGGCCCGGCCGCTCCCAGCTTGGATGCTCCGGGCTTGGCTGCTGCTGTTCTGGGCCTGCCTGCTCCCGACCTGGCTGCTCCGGGCCTGGCCGCTCCGGGCCTGGTTGCTCCGGGCCTGGCCATCCTGGGCTTGGCCGCCTCCACCCCAGGCCTGGCTGCCACTGCCCCAGGTCTGGCTGCTCCGGGCCTGGCTGCTGCTGCTCTGGTTCTGGCTGCTGCTGCTCTGGGGCCTGGCTGCTGCTGCTCCGGGCCCGGCTGCCACTGCCTTGGGCCCAGCCACTCTGGGCCTGGCCGCCGCCACTCCAACATTCTGTCCTTTTTTTTTTTTTAAACGCATTTATGTTACAGTGTTGGCTGCTGGGTTGAGTTCTGTGTTAGTCTTCGATTTTTTAAGATCTTTGTATTCTTTCTTAAGTAATTTTACTATCTTTTGCTATTACTTGATTTCTTCACATTGAAAACTTCTTCGGTTTCTTCCTCCTTGTCCTGGGAGCTCAGCAGGCTGGCCTGCAGCACTCCTTTGTTCCCCGCAGCCTCCTGCGCGGCTCCAGCCTGTTGCCAGGGTCGGCACCTCCCAGGAAGCAGCCCCTGGCCTTGGCTCCGTGGCCAGCGATCAGCGATCGAGGGCCCAGCGGCACCCCCCTCTCCCCCTAGGGGCCCCATCACCCGGCTCCTTGCTGGCGCCCGGCTGGCCGGTGTCCGGCAGCGGCTCCTGCTCCTCAATGCGTTCCTCCCAGTCTGGAGCTTTTTTCTCCTTCCTGCTTGGAGAGTCTAGCATCAGAGTCAACAGACTGTCCTCTGCGCGCAATGTGCGCGATTCTGGGGCCTCTGCCCCTCTCTGCTCCCCTGGGACTCCGCCTCACAGCCCAGTCTCCCCCTGCCTGAGCCTGGGTCCCCAGGGTCTGGCCCAGAACTGGGGCTCAGCGCTGCTGGTTCTGGGGTTCAGCCCAGTCCGGGGCTTTTATTTCCTTCCTGCTAGGGAATGCCAGGCAGGCACCCAGCCTTCTCCTCCTCTCCGGCTGCATCCTCTCCGCACGCACGTGTGCACCATGCGCAGCATGTCTCCGTACCTTAGACTTTTTCAGCTCCTCTGATTTTCCTTCTGCTTTTCTCTTTCCTTCTTGTTGTAGAATTTTCAGTCAGTCGACTACCTGTAGCTCTGGGCAATGACCACTCTACATTTTAGTTGTATTCCATTGAAATTGTTGTGTGCTGCTGCGGTTAGGTGTTTACCTGTGCAGCCTTCTTGGATCCCACTTCTCGTGTTGGCCATGTAGTCTTCTTATTTTTTTATATTATTATTATTATTATTATTATTATTATTTTTTAAGGATATTCTTGGCTTTATCTTTAAAAAAAAAAACGTGTTTTTTTTTTTTTTTTTTTTTTTTTTTTTTTTTTTTTAGAGATAGAGGGAAGGAGAGGGAGAGAGCTAGTCACAGACCTTTTAAAAATTCGTCTACATTTGTTCTGTATTGAATTAGTGGTAGGCAAAACTATGTGGCATGAAAGATCTTTTGAATACTTCAAATTCAGACTTAGTTTAAGACCAGAAAAATGATTTACTTTAAAGTGATTTACTGCTGTAATCTGCTTTATAAACTTAGGTTTTAATTTACTTGAACTTTCTTTTAATGAATTATATTGAAACATTTCTTTTTTTTAATACAGTGACGATGAAAATACATTTAAAATTTTAGTGGCAACTGACATTCATCTGGGATTTATGGAGAAAGATGCAATCAGAGGAAACGATACATTTGTCACACTTGATGAAATTTTAAGGCTTGCCCAGGAAAATAAAGTAAGTTTGCTTAATGTTTTTCAGTGTTCCCTTACTCAACAGGCTCTTTTCCCTATGCTATGTGCTCACATTGCCTGTTTAAATATCAGTATACTAAAAACCCAAAGCAGGTTTTGTGTGCTTTGTGCCCTTAATTCAAGTAGGAGTTACTTTTGAAAATAGTTGATAAAGATTTACAAATATTGATGGGGTATTTCCTGAATGCAGAAATGTCATAGTTTCTACTTTTAAAGAACATAAGGGCAACCAAATTTGAGATAAGACAAATATCCAAAAAGCTCAGATGCAAGGTCATATGTCATAAGAAAATTATGAAGAACCTTTTCTGGGAAATTAGAGGAGGAAGAGATGGTATTTAGAAGGGAAGAGCAAGATGAGTTCAATGAAGGAGGTAGCATTTAACTTGAGCTTTGATGGGTGAAGAGCACAGAGAATGTACATTTCACAGGAAGCAGGAGGAAGGACACACAGGTAAGCCAATATGATGTATGTCGGGAACAGCAGGTCTGGTCAGCTGTCTGATAGGCCATGTGTTTGTTAGAAAGCATCTTGAAAGTCCAGAAATGTGATCTGAATGGCACTAAGGAGAGCTTAAATGCCAGATTGAGGAGTTTGTACCCTATCCAGTAGAATGTCTTCTGGCAACAAGGTATAGCATGAATTGGAGATCAGTATGAGGCCTCTTTAAGGACATAGCCTGGGATGGAAAAGAGGAAGTGAATGCAAGAGATATTCCAAAGATAGCATTTGCATACTTTGATTGGTTAGTTGTAGGAAGTGGGGTTGAGGGAAAAGAGGATGACAGTGACTGAAGTGTGTTAAGATTGGGTGAATGGTGGTACCAATAATAGGAATAGGTTTTAAATAAGGAAGAGGTACTGCTTTATGTGGGAAGGTGATGAATTCTGATTTAGACCATTTGGGTTTAGAGATTCCAGTAGGATATTCAAGGAAACATTCCTACAGGCAATTGAAATATTGGTCTAGGGCCCAAGAGAGAATCCTGTTTCCTTTATTTTCCTACTCTTAGGTGTTAAAATATCTCTTTCCTTAAGCATAAGCTCCCCCTAACCCCTCTCTACTTTACCCTTTCCTTCTCTTTTTTTCTTGTTTTCCTTCCCTGCATTCCTTAAGTTTAATTGCCCCCTCCCCTCACAGCCCCAGGTTGGTACTTCCAGATGCATAGTATATTTACTTTTTGCCTTAATTCTTCCTTACACATACTTTTCTGAACCATTTAAAGTAAATTGCATGTATAACAATAGTGCACTTACCAAAACCAGGAAATTAATATTGACTCAATACCATTATGTAATTTTAAGATGTTACCACTTGTCTCATTAATGCCTGTTATACCAGTTTGGCAGGTAGGGTTGTCTCCAAGTTCCCAGCCAGGATTGCATTTGGCATTTAGTTGTCATGTGTCTTTCATCTCTTGTAGTTTGTCTTTGTTTTTCATGACTGACATTGTTGAAGAGTGCAAGCTAGTTATTTTGTAGAATAGTCCTCAGTTGGATATGCCTGACATTTACTTCGTCGTGATTATATTCACTTTTGGCCCGAATACCACAGAAGCCAGTTTTGTCCTTCTTAAGATTCCCTGGATCATAAACCACTTTCTAAAAATATTTAAAATGTTTTTCCTGCCATAGCTGGTTTGGCTCAGTGGATAGAGTGTTGGCCTGCAGCCTGAAGGGTCCCGGATTTGATTCCGGTCAAGGTGGCGTGGCCAGATTGTGGGCTCTATCACCATTAGGGGGTTTGCAGGAGGCAGCCAATCAATGATTCTTTCATCATTGATGCTTCTCTCTCTTCCTCTCCCTCTCTGAAATCAGTTAAAAAGTGTATATATATATATAAAGTTTTTCCTTCTGATACAATACACAAAATAAAATTTACCATCTTAACCATTTTTAAGTGTACACTTCAGTAGCATTAAGCAAATTCACATTATTGTACAATCAATCTCCAGATTGCCTTTCAACTTGGAAAAGTGAAACTACAACTCTCCTTTCCCCTTCCCCCTTAAAATAGTTTTTTATTTGTTTTGTTGTTTTCTTTCTTCTATGCCTTCGATTATGATTTTCTTCCTTTACTCAAATCATGTATATTTTTGAAGATCTAGCTTAAATCCCACATTTTTATTAAACTTTCTCTGACTGCTGTAGGAATGGAAAATTTTTCCCTTTCTTTCACGGTTCTTTGGCTGGTCTGATAATTACATTGACAGATTAACAGGAGAAAAACAAATTTCAAACATAAAAGTATGAGACTCCTTGGTAGTCAGGTAATCGAGGCTCACATACCATCCTGAGCCAAAAGAAGAAGGGATTAGAAGTGTGGGGCTTCAGAAGGGTGTGGGGAGGAAGCAGTCCACAGGAAGACGGGAAGAGCAAATGTTGGGTAATGCAGATAAGTCTTTCTGATACAAAGAGTTGTCTCGGTAATAGTCTCTTCCTGGTATAGGCTGTCTGTCTAAGCTCTTTCAGGCTGTTGAGGGAGGGGTAGAAATGTCTTAGCTAGGTCTTAATTGCCTTCAGCTCAAAATAATCCCCATGCCAAAATGGTGTATTTAGCTCCCACCCACTGCTAAAGTTCACAGTGATCTGTACTGCTGCGTTCTTTTGTATAATTAAAAACTTCATCAAATTTCTTCAGTCAGATTGGACACTTACTGAAAGCATCAGTGTTAGGTGTGGTTTCTCCTTCTCTCTGGTTGTTCCTCAGAATCTCATTTATTTTCATAGCATCACTGTGTAGGCAGATCCTTCCCAGACTTACTGCTCACAGAGGAATTTCCTTTCCTCAGTTAGAATTCACTGTTCTAATGGCATTTCTGCTCCTGGTTCATTTACATATCTATTCTAGTGCATGTCAGTCTGACTTATCTCTAGATGCAGAACAGTTTGTCTCTTCCATTAGATTTGAACGTTTTTTAGGATAGGGATTGTATTTTATTTATCATTGTATTCTCAGGACTGAATACAGGTTATTTATTGCACATTGTCAGTATTTAATGAGGGCAGGGCCATTAATGACTTTGTAGATTATTGTTTCTTTAGCTACCAATACCTGTAGGAACTCTAATTGTTGAATAAATTGAATGAATAAGTTGGATTGAATCGGCTATCTCTTTCATAGGTTCCATTAAAGTGCTACATTTTATCCTTGATTTGAATAATGGGGGAAAATGTGATCACTTAGGGTTGCATCAGAAAGAGATTGGTGTTGTAATTTGAAAATAGCTTGTTTGAATGTGGCCAAGAAAACTAAATTAGAATGATTCATCACCAGATTGGAAGGTGCTTTAAATGAGTAAAATAAAAAAATAAAAAATTTAAATTTCCATATGTAATGGCATCATACACACACACACACACACACACACACACACATATATATATATATATACACATACATACACACACACACACACATATACATTTACCTTTCACCCATGGAAATATTTCGTCTATAAAACATACTAATTTTAACACTTTTCTGTTGACTAGGTGGACTTTATTTTGTTAGGTGGTGATCTTTTTCATGAAAATAAGCCCTCAAGAAAAACATTACATACCTGCTTGGAGAAATTAAGAAAATATTGCATGGGTGATCGTCCTGTACAGTTTGAAATCATCAGTGATCAGTCAGTCAACTTTGGTTTTAGTAAGTAAGTATATTTATGTGCTTACGTGAAGTTTCCTATGTAGAGTATTTTCGTTAAAAGACACAAACACATTAACATCGAGCCATTTCACCTTTATTATAGCCTATTTTCATAGTAAATGTTGTTCTTTGAATTTTCTATGCATTGTTATATTAATTTGTAATTCCCTAATTGTGGGACTGATATCTTTTTGAAATTTTATTGTACATTTGGGTATCCTTTTCTGTTCATTTCCTTTGCTCATTTTCTAAATTGGGATTTTAAAATATATAAATATAAAAAAATATAAAATATAAAAATATATATTTTATTGATTTTTTTTTATAGAGAGGAATGGAGAGGGATAGATAGTTAGAAACATCGATGAGAGAGAAACATTGATCAGCTGCCTCCTGCACACCCCCTACTAGGGATGTGCCTGCAACCAAGGTACATGCCCTTGACCAGAATCAAATCTGGACCTTTCAGTCTGCAGGCCAGTGCTCTATCCACTGAGCCGAACCTGTTTCAGCTAAATTGGGATTTTTGCCTAATGTTACTGACTTTGATGAAGCTATGTATACTTAGTATTTTCCCCCAATCAGTGGATTACCTTTTGACTTTGTTTATGGTGCCTTTTGTTGATTGAGATATTTAATTTTGATGTAGTCAAATATATTATTGTGTTTTGTGTTGTTTTTAAGATTTGTGCTTTTGGGACTTATTTTTGATATCCACCTCTAAGAACCCTATGTCATAAAGGTACTCATGTTTTTTCCTAAACATTGTATTAAGATACCACATTGCATTTACTTGAAATGTTCTGTTAGTTTTCTTCAGCCTGTACCAGTTTCTCCATCTTTCCTTGTCTTTTATAATCCTGAAACTTAAAAATATATATATATATATTTGTATTGATTTCAGAGAGGAAGAGGGAGGGAAACATTAGTGATGAGAGAGAATCATTGATCAGTTGCCTCCTGCACTGGGGATCGAGCCCACAACCGGGCATGTGCCCTTGACCGGACCCAGGACCTTTCATTCTGCAGCTGACACTCTGTCCACTGAGCCAAACCAGCTAGGGCTTGATCCTGACACTTTAAAGTGTACTGGTTATATATTTTATAGAATGCCCCTCAGTTTGGCTTTTTCTCATGATTACACTAGAATTATGTGGGGTTTTTTTTGAAGAATATTCCCCACAGAAGTGAAGTGCCATTCTCATAGCATATCAGGAGTACATGCTATCAACATAGCTTATCACTGGTGAGGTTAATCCTGATCATCTGGTAAATGTGGTATATACCAGGTTTCTCTGCTATCAAGTTCCTTTTTTCCCCTTTCTGTACACTATTTGTTAGAATGGAGTTGCTAAATCTAGCTATACTCAAAGAGAGGGAATTAAGTTTCACATTCAGGAGAGAGGAGTGTCAAAGGATTTATGGCCATAGTTAAAACTACCACTGTGACTAGTAAATATTTTGGGAGGATATTTTGAGGGCTCTATTCAGTTTCTCCTTAAAGCTTAACCACTAGACCATGCCAACCGTGCGGGTTTTCTTTAATAAAGTGTAATACTTTGACATATTTTCAAACTTGAATTGAAATAAATTGTTACGTTTGATTTTATTTTTTTTAAACTTCAAAATTGTGGTCTTTTGCCATCTTAAATCACCCAGTTTGCCTGTAATTGCATTATTTTCTAGAGGCTACTGGGGGTAACAGCTTTTGTCTCTTACAGAACCTTTAATTACCTTACAATTTTTTATTTTTATTTTTTAAGGTTTCCGTGGGTGAACTACCAAGATGACAATCTCAACATTTCGATTCCAGTGTTTAGTATTCATGGCAATCATGATGATCCCACAGGGGTAATTATTGGGTTCTTACAGTTGAAATAGAAATGGCCAATTTAGTTTGTCTGTAGAAAGCAATTTTTATTAAATAGAGTCAAAAAGTCAAATTGATTTTTTATCATTCATAAAAGCTTTTATACTGCTTTTTAGATAATTTTTAGAAATTTGGACTAACAATTGGTGTGTGAAGTATGCTTTTATTTCATTACTGCTGAGATGAACAATAAGTAACCAGGACTAGCAAAAAGCAAACATCTATCATTTGTACAATGCTTTACAGTTCACCATGTGCTCTTGTGTCTCTTATCTCATAGAATCTCATCTGTAGGAAATCATTGTTTCATATACAATTTTAAATGTAAATTAGGTCATCTTATTACCTGTTTATTTGGGAGTAATAATAGAAGTCCTAAACTCAAAATATCTTTTTGTTTTATCTGTTAATGAATATTATAAATCACTAGTTATCTAGTCTTTTCCCTCCTACATCTTAAAGAGGCCTGCTTAATATTAAAAAGCACTTATTTCATGGCTAGCTTTTATTTTTCAGTGGCCAAGCCATCATAAGTTTTGATGAAATAATGTTTACTTTACATTTAGCATGTGATTCCAATTGGAGAACATTTCTAATAGAAAAAAGGTAACAACAACTTTTAATATTGTAATTCTTTTTCAAAGAGACACTTTGTTAAATTTTTTTTGTAACTAGTATATAGAATATATTTTAATATTATAGTTAATAATATGATATGCAGATTACTTATTTTTAATATATAATAATATTCTTTGAAAATGTTTTACGTAGGCAGACGCGCTCTGTGCCCTGGATATTTTAAGTTGTGCTGGATTTGTAAATCACTTTGGACGTTCAATGTCTGTGGAGAAGATAGACATTAGTCCAGTTTTGCTTCAAAAAGGAAGCACAAAAATTGCTCTGTATGGCTTAGGTAAGATGGTTTTATTATTTATACCAATAAATATTTAATTATCTAAGGAACTGGGAAATCAAATTCTGGAGTTAATTTTGTTGCTGTTTGGGGAAAAAATGAGGCAAATCTCTATACTCTATATATTTTTATTTAGAGATATATAAATTCTTTATATAAATATATAAATATAAATTCTTATTTTTATAGTTATATAAATATAAATTATTTATATTTACTATAAAAATGATAGGTTTGGGTAGATTTTTTTAGTAATTAATAAGAACTAGTAGTCCTGATTCTTGTTTTCAATAGCAGTTTTGGTTAAGAAATTTTTTTCTTTAGTATCTACTTATTGTTCTTTTTTTCTTTCTTTTAGACTTAAAGAATCCTGAACATTACAATTAGAGTAATTAGATATTTTGGTCTTTGAAGGTTCTAAAGCTTCACTGTCCAATGCAGTAGCCAACTAGCCTCATATAGATGCTGAGCACTTGAAATGTGGCTCAATTGAACTGAGATATGCTAACAGTATCAAATACACGTAGATTTCAGTGACCCAGAAAAAATGTAAAAATACCTTACCTGTTTCTTTTTACTTGTTTTACTTAATGTGGCCACTGGAAAATTTTGAATTATAGATTTGGACTGCATTAGTGACTCATTTTTGTTAGTTTTTGCTAGTCTAGAGTTGTCAGCTCTAATGCTCAGAAAATTTGCCTTTATCAGCTTTATTATCAATTTATTTAGTGTCCAGTAGGTAAAAGTCTATTTGCTAAGCTTTATTCTATTTGAATGAAAGACCAATGACCTTTTTAGAGTGCAAAGTTTATTTATTGTGTTTTCCCTGGATTAAGTTTAGCTTGATATTTTGTTTTTTGAATACCATAGCTTTATTTTATATAGAGTATTATGAAAATTATATTCCATGTTAAATCAACCTTGAAGTACCCTGAAAGAAATTGGGGGGAAATTTCACACTGTAGGTCTTACTACTTTTTGAGTGATTTTAGTATAAAAGAAGCCTTAGAAGATCTTTCTTATTTCAGTTGTCTTTGAATATGTTCATAAAATAATCAGTTATGATGGATGGGTTTATTTAAACACTTTTTTCTAGGGAGCTTATATTCTTTGTCCATTTCTTTTTTCTTTTTTTTTTTTTAATATATTTTATTGATTTTTTACAGAGAGGAAGGGAGAGAAATAGAGAGCTAGAAATGTCGATGAGAGAGAAACATCGACCAGCTGCCTCTTGCACACCCCCTACTGGGGATGCGCCCGCAACCAATGTACATGCCCTTGACCGGAATCGAACCTGGAACCTTTCAGTCCGCAGACCGAAGCTCTACCACTGAGCCAAACTGGTTTCGGCTCTTTCTGCATTTCATAACTTCTCTTAAGTAAAAAAGCATCATGTTTATATTTTCAAGTTACAAAAAATGAAGTTGAGATATATGTCTGATTTTGCAAGTAATAGAGTAAAAGGTTTTCTTAAAAGAACTGGTATTTTAATCATTACAATGTTTCGGTTCATAACTGCAGAAAAATAGTTGATCTTCTCACGTTCAGACCAAAGACATCCCATTATGCTTCACTCATCCACTTTCTCTCAAACTCTCATCTCATCTTGTTATATTTTCCTTAACTGGTCTCAGTCTACTCTCCACCCCCTGCTCTCACCCCAACCCTTCTCAAACACTCTAGAACTCTTTTTAGCGTTGGCAAATTCTCTCATTTCATCAGGAAATTGCTGAGCAAGTATTGAATGTTGCCTCTGCTCTCTGACTGGGCCTGAGGTTACCGTGTCCCACACAGTTCTCTCTCAACCTTTTATGGGCTCCAGGGCAAGAGGGTGGGCCAGGATGATCCCTGTTCTCCTGGTTCCTTGCTGCCACTTTTTTCCTGCCTGCATCCTCCCTATTCCCTTGGAGCTCAATGGCAGTAGGCTAAACTGCCCTCTCCTTTCCCTCCGAGTTTTTCCCTACCTACAGATTTGTGAATGTTCTCAGTGCTTTAAGACTTATATAGATTCACCTTCCAATGCCCTGGACTTTGTATGCCTTGACTTTTCCTCTCTAGTTATAGGTTCTGTGTTCCACCATCTATTCCGTTTGCCATATTCTAGGAATCCTCTTTAGAGTCTAGGCCTCTTCTAGCTCTTATGCTTTTGCATTGTTGGCTTTTCTCCAAAGCCTTGCCTAATCTCTACATAAAGTAGCAACCTCATCCCCTCACTGATATTCCCCATTTTAACACTCTGACATTTTCTCCTTTATAATTCTTAAAATTTTAATTTGTGTGTTTGCTTACTTGTTTGTGTTGGCCTCCTTTATTTGAGCAAGCTAATCCTTTGGGGTGGAGGAAGAATTATTTAAATTTTAATCAATTATTAAACAGCACAGTATTTTTTTTTATTGTTTAATGTATTCAGTACAGTATTTTTACTTAAAAACAATATATATGACTATTTACTTATAAATACATTTATTTTTTATCTCATCCCTCTTTCTGTGTATTTTATAATATATTTGTTAGGTCAAAAGTGCTATGTGCTTATTATAAAGGGATAATGAAAACAGTATTTTAAATAGAAATGTTAATAACAACTTAACCTAAAAACTCAGATTTTTATTCCACATTTTTCAGATTTTGAAAGTGTATATGCTTGACAGGAAAACAATCTTTGAATGCATTTAACTGCTCAGCAGTTGTCATGCAAGAACTTAGAATACATTCATTTGCAAGTAATGATACAAGATATCAAATATATCTCTAATTGGAAAATGAATTACTTACAAAAGCACATAATTTAGAAGCAAAACATTTTTTTTTTTTTTTTAACCAAGTAAGAAACCAGTTTTAAAATAATGTCATGTCTATTTCAGGATCCATTCCAGATGAAAGGTTATATCGAATGTTCCTCAATCAAAAAGTAAAAATGTTGAGACCCAAAGAAGATGAGAACTCTTGGTTTAATTTGTTTGTGATTCATCAGAACAGGTAAAAGTATTCTTTGGAAATGTTGAGTCAAGTATTGAGATTCTCCAAATCTCTGTTTCCAGACTTACCTATTTGAGTAAAATGCTCCCCATTTTTTGAAAGTTGTCAGTGCACGGTCAGGCAAGACTTAGATATGTATGATTGCATTTAAAAATTTTTCAAAATACATTTATACCTATAAAAGAATATTTAGGGCATATGCATAAGGTATAAAAATAATCATAAAAGGAATGTCTAAATATCTCAAAGAAGTGTAAGTAGTGCTCTTCTCTGACCCCATTTCTTGCTCCATATTTCAGAGAGAAACACAATAGTCAGTTTTTATTTACTCAGACCATTGCTTTTCTTTATTGTTTAATCACATATATATCCACTGGTATAACTGGACCCTTGCTGTAAATTTTGCAGCTGGCTTATTTTCAATATTCGAGGCCAGTGCACAGATTTGTGCACCAGTGGGGTCCCTCTGCATGGCCTGCAGGGATTGGGCCAAAACCAGCTCTCTGATATCCCCTGAGGGGTCCTGAATTGTGAAAGTGTGCAGGCCAGGCCGAGGGACCCTACCTGTGAACGATCAGGGCCAGAGAGGGTCTGCGGAAGGCTCCAGTGCGTGTCCGGCCCCTCTTGCCCAGTCCCAATTGGGGCTGATCAGGGCTGGCCAGCCAGGGAGGGACTGTGGGAGGGCATGTCCAGCCCATCTCGCCCAGTCCTGATTGGCCAGACCCCAGCAGCAGGCTAACCTGCCCTTGTGGTCAGTGACTGGTCGAATGGTTGGACACTGGCACATTAGGCTTTTATATATATAGATTATGTCACTAAGGTGTATCCATTTTGCTGTTTAAAGGTATAATTCATTTTTGCTGATGTAACAGTATTCCTGTTAGTGAATATTTTATATTATTTCCAGATTTTTGCTTATCAAAATCTTGTAAACATTCTTATGCATGTCTCCCGGTGCATATATGCAGGTGTTTTTCCATATTATTACATATAGCTGGATTAGCTTTCTTTTGTTAGTAGTTTTAAGAAGTTTAATCTTATTGATAAGGTGCAGGAATGGTGACTTGAAGAAGCAAAATTTATTATGTGATCATTATAGTAAAAAAGTGTGAGATGGTAATGGTAATATCAGTGAGAAAGCTGAGAAGTTATTAAGGAATAATCTCAAGGGATTTGGGTTTGATTTTTAGACCCTAGATGTATGTTTTCTGTATAAAAATATTCCTAAGTACATGATCTTGCTCTGATTTCACTTCCTGCTCTTCCCTGCATTCATTGTGCTCAGCCACACTGATCTCCTTGATGTTTTGAACTCACTGACCACATCCCCACCTTTGTACCTTTGCCATCTGCTTGTCCCTCTGCCTAGGTCTTTCTTCCCTTGCCTGCTAATCCCTTACATCAGGGTTCTGCTCATTTGTCACCTGCCAGAGAGGCCTTTTCTAACCACACTGTATTGTGATATCTCCTTTCGATGTCACTTTTATTTATCTTTATCATGTCCATCACTACCTGGCAAATTTTATATATATATTCTAAAAAATGTATACACATACTTTGAATAATTTTAAAGACAGTGTTCATTAAAATACATTTCATTTTCAAAATTGAGTTGTCAGCTGTTGAAGTGTGTATACATTTTTCTGAGGATACATCTTGTATTGTTGGTTGTTCCCCTCACTAGGACAAGGACTTTGTTTACCTACGTGTCTTCTGCATTTAAGTATTTGTTGATTGAATATTGTTTTGCATTAAATGAATGTTAGATCAGAGTATTTGGATACTTTTACTTAAATTCCCAACAATATAAATTAGTGTTAGGAAAAACTTTTCCTTCTTATTTTGACTCACGTTGGGTTTTCACATATCTTTTAATAATAATAACTAACCTCAGAATAAAACCAGAGTTTGCAAATCACTTATATATTTTATTTAATATGGAAAACTCTTCTCTCATGTAAGATTGATATTCTTTTTTTAATATATAAATATATTTTTATTGATCAGAGAAGAAGGGAGAGAGAGTTAGAAACATAAATGATTAGGGAGAATCATTGATTGGCTGCCCCTTGAATATTCCCTGCTGGAGATTAAGCCTGCAATTCAAGCATGTTCCCTGACTGGAAATCAAACTGTCACCTCTTGGTTCATAAATCAATGCTCAACTACTGAGCCACAATGGCTAGGCAGATTGACATTCTTACTTTCATTTTTATAATCAGTAATAAAATAGATGATGTTAAAAAAAATGACTGGGCATATTTAGAGATTTGTTTTTATTCTACAAAGTTTCACTTTTATTTTTTGTGTTCTTTATTTGCTGTATAATTCGACCAAATTATAGGTTTTTATTAGTAACAGGGCTCCTGCTTTTCTGACCTGCCCAAAGCAGGTTTCTCCTCTTTGAACCTTTCGTAATTTGTATCTAAAAGTAGGATTGACTGCTTTCTCTTTCGGGTCTCCTACTTGCCTGTGTCCTACAAATTTGTAAGCCCTTTGAGGAATGAGATAATGTCTTTGTATTCTCAATCCCTTGCACACAGAAGGGGATGTAACAATTCTTTAATGAAAGGAGAATAAAGATCTATACAGTGGTTCCCAATGTGGGGCACAAGCCCCACAGGGGTGGCAATTTGATTTTTAGGGGGGGCAATTTGAGAATGAGTCATTAACAGTGAATTTTTTGCATTTCTTATAGTTCTAGTGGCTTCATTATACAGTATGTAAATATATATTGTGACATATTTATCCGTTTCAGTTCTCTAATATATGTTTTGAAACTTTATTTGCTATTTTTTTAATCACTTCATATTATTATCTTTTTTTTTTTTGTAACAATTTCTTAGTGATTTCTTCCTCAGTACTTCACCTGTCCTTTCATTCTTTTATTTTTCTCTTTCATGGCTGCCATGTTCTTTGGAAGCTCGTTTAGACACTGATAATCAGAGAGATGCAAATTAAAATAATGAATTATCACCCCACACCTGTCAGAAAAGAAAACCATTAATGGCCTTTTCGGCTTCTACATGAATAGCAGTTGACTTTTGGGATAATAAGAATTATACATCACATGGGGGGGCATCGGGTGGGGCATGGCCAAAACAAGGTTGGGAACCACTGATATAGATACTTAATATGAAATTTTTTTATATCTCTGAACATTTATTTGTTTTTTAAAATCTTGGTATAGGAGTAAACATGGAAGTACTAACTTCATTCCAGAACATTTTTTGGATGACTTCATTGATCTTGTAATCTGGGGCCATGAGCACGAGTGTAAGATAGCTCCAACCAAAAATGAACAACAACTCTTTTACGTGTCCCAACCTGGAAGTTCAGTGGTGACTTCTCTTTCCCCAGGAGAAGCTGTGAAGAAGTGAGTAATTGTTTTCTTTTCCAAATCAACTTAAAAAAAATCTGCTAAAATATTCTAATTATCCCAGAGTTACACACACACACACACACACACACACACACACACACACACATATCTTTATTGGTTTCAGAGAAGAGGGGAAAGGGAGAGAGAGATAGAAGCATCAATGATGAGAGATAATCATTAATAGGCTGTCTTCTGCATGCCTTCTACTGGGAATTGAGCCCACAACCTGGGCATATGCCCTGACCAGGAATTAAACCATGACCTCCTAGTTCATAGATTGACCCTCAACCACTGAGCCATACCGGCGGACAGATATCTCATTTCTTTTGGGGATGAGGGGAATTATATAATAGCGTAGTTAGTAGTGATTAACTAACAGAGGTTTTATTCTTTAATCCTCTCAAGTTCTGATTGTTAAGATGATAATAGGTTTAAAGAATATGATAATAGGGTGTAAGTTAGCTGTTTTTTTCTTCATAGTCTGCTGCTAATTTATTTTATATATGCATGTGCACCTATACACACTCAGATAATACATATATATGTAATAGCATATACCATATATACTACTATAATAGCCCTGATAACATTTTATTATTCTTACTGTTATACTTGTCTTCTATTAAACTGTATATTTGTTCAGGCAGAAAAATGATGGATGAGTGGATTTTATTCTGAGGAAGAAGAATATTTAACATTTTTTCTCTGTGATATAACGTCAAATTGCTAAAAATATTTTTAAGGGCATGATTTTGTAAAGAATTGTTTTGTAAAAACTTAGAAATGTGGTAGTTTTGGTGCGCACATTTTCCTGGGGAAATTTACAACCTGACGAGCCTTTCCTTTCCTCCTCATTTCAGACACATTGGCTTGCTTCGGATTAAAGGAAAGAAGATGAATATGCAGAAAATCCCTCTTTGCACAGTCCGGCAGTTTTTTATGGAGGATGTTGTTCTGGCTGATCATCCAGACATTTTTAATCCAGATAATCCTAAAGTAACCCAAGCCATACAAAGCTTCTGTTTGGAGAAGGTAATTCTTCTAGGTAAAGGTCAATGAGATCTACTTTAAGTGAGAGATTATTTACATTTAATTAAATAATTCAGTCATTAAGCCATTATATAGAATAGGATAAAAGCAGGTTTACAGTTGTTTGTATGGAAAATAATGACTAATAAATAGTACAAGAATAAACTGTTTCATGTACTAACAGCTGTAAACATACTTTTGCCCCACCCTGTTTTTATCACAATCTCATGGAGCCTGTAAGGAGCCACCTTTGTTCAATAAATGAGTTTAATTGTACCAAAAATCTTTCAAGTCTTCCAGATGGAGGAATGTTATATACAGTAGAAATTTTCATTAAGCCCCCTCCCAATTCCTTTCCCCCTTCTCAAAAACATATACATAAAAAATTTTCTCTTTTTACCCTGATTAGATCATTTATTTTATTTATGAAAGCAGGCAGTGGCTTTGATTGGGAATGGGAGAAAATTATGATAGATGAGGAGAACCTTAACCTATCTGCATTAGGCATCCCTTTCGCCCTAAAAGCTACCACAAATAAAGTCTTAAAATGTGTTTGCTATGTACCTCACACCTCCCCTTTCATGCATTTGCCTCCCCTAAACCTTTGCACAAATTCTAGAGCCACTACTGAAGTTGATCAATGCACTTAATAATATGTAAGTTAACAGCTTACTACTCATTGCTAAAACTTCATTCTTATTCTGTGCTAACTCCTCTGCTTTGTATTTTATTCTCATAAAAAAAAAGTCATATGAGGTAGTAATAATGGAAATAATAATTATCACTGATATTCATTGCCTGCTTATATATTCTGGGCCATTGACAACATTTTGCATTTAATCCACTCAATGATGCTGTGGATAGATTATCCATCCACATTTTATAGAGAGGGAGCTGAACCTTAGATAAAGTAATCTGCCCCGTGTTGAAGCGTTAGCAGCAACATGTAACTCATAACTAAAAGGTTAAGAGTATGCTGGTTTTAAGATGATTAGATCCAGAAACTCAAAATAAGATGGGTCTTGCCGAAACCGGTTTGGCTCAGTGGTAGAGCGTCGGTCTGCGGACTGAAAGGTCCCAGGTTCGATTCTGGTCAAGGGCATGTACGTTGGTTGTGGGCACATCCCCCGTAGGGGGTGTGCAAAAGGCAGCTGGTCGGTGTTTCTCTCATCGATGTTTCTAGCTCTCTATCTCTCTCCCTTCCTCTCTGTAAAAAAATCAATAAAAATATATTAAAAAAAGAAAAAAAAGATTATGGGTTTCTCTATCTCTTTTTCCAGCCCCATGCCACCCATTCTGATAGTTTCTGTCTTAAATTTCACTGTAAGGAAGGTGTTTTCACATGGTGGCCCACAGACATACCTGAATCATTTCCCTCACTAGATTTAGATAAACCCCTAGTATTGGACTGAGGTCATGTGCTTGTTCCTAAACGTGATCTCTGAAGCCAGGAAGATGGAAAATGAATAAATTGGTCAGGCCTGAGTCAGGGAACCCAGGGTCTCTTTACTTTGGCATAACTGACAATTTAAAAAAAATTATTATTTTTAAAATATATATTTTTACTAATTTCAGAGAGGAAAGGAGAGGGAGAGAGAAACATCAGTGTTGAGATAGAATCGAGCCTACAACCCGGGCATGTGACCCTGACCGGAATCGCACTTGAGCCAAACCAGCTAGGTTGGCACAACTGATATTTTAGATTGGGTAATGTTTTGTTGTAGGAGTTGCCCTGCATTGTAGGATTTAAAAAAAATAAAAATAAAAAAATGTATTTTTGTTGATTTTTAGAAAGAGAGGAAGGAGAGAGAGAAACATCTATTAGGCTGCCATGTTCTCTACAGAGGATCGAGCCAGAAAGTTGGGCCTGTGCCCTGACCTGGAGTCAAACTGGGAACCTTTTGGTACACGGGACGATGCTCAACCAACTTAGCCACACCAGCCAGGGTGCATTGTAGGATTTTAACAATATCCTGTCTGACCTCTACCCACTGGATGCCAGTAGTATCCTACTCTCACGTCATGATAATATTTTTATTCTGAGATTGAAGAAATGCTTGAAAATGCTGAACGGGAGCGTCTGGGAAATGCTGGACAGCCAGATAAGCCTCTTATACGACTGCGAGTAAGTCCTATTTTATTTTATTTATTTTATTTTATTTTATTTTATTTTATTTTATTTTATTTTATTTTATTTTATTTTATTTTATTTTTGAGTAGCTTCTATTTCAGGTAAATTGAACTTTATTGACTTTTCAGAAGATAGTATTGCAGAGTTTATTTCACTCTTTGGCACCTTTGCCCAGGTGCCTGGAATGTACTTCTCTCCTTCCATAATACTTCCTCCAACACTCACTTAAGCTTCCCATCTTCGTAGAAGCCTTTCTTGACCTCCCTTCCTTTGTGTCCTCAGTTTACTCTGTACATACTTTTTACAGCATGATTTCATTCTGCTTGCAGTTATCTACATGTTTGTCTTCCCAGGCAGCTTGTGAATTTTTTGATGACTGTTTTATTCATGGCTGTAGCCCTGATCCTCAGCCTAATGTCTAGTACATTGTGAACACTCAATAAAGTTTGTGTAATGAACAAGCTTTATGACTCCTAGGAGCAGCAAATCACAAATAAAGCTAGGCCAGAGTACAATGGTTAAAATATCTGAAGAATCTGAGGAAATCTAATAGCTTGAACATTTCACGTGTTTTATAATATGGCAGCTGTGGAGATGGTTTGGGTACCACAAACATAGTTGCTGTGGGAGAACTACATTGTTCTCTTTATCAGGGCAGAAGGTCCCATGTTTCTCATCTATGTCTGCCTGAAACCATTAGAGCCAACAGACTGAAATAGAAAATTGGCATTCTTTTCCCTAAGCACAGCAAATTACTAATTCATTTGTGAAATAAGAGAACAAATAGTTCGTGTGAGTAATATTCCAAAAGTACATTGTATTAACCAGAAACCCCTCATTAATTCATTGATTCAGTGGATCAATATTTATTATACATTCTGTCCTGCAGGGTGGGAACACAGCGGTGATAACACAGAGGAGCTGTTGAACTTGTGAGCTTATGGGAGGTGGAGCTGTGAGACACAGTAAACAGATAGCAAGTAAATGGACAAAAGTCGTTTTGTGCTGAGTGTGATGAAGAGTCTAAGTGGTTAGGGAGTAGTGTAGAGAGGCTGGTGATGCGGTATAATGCTGATTCCAGTGCATTACATTGAGCACAGCTAGTTTAGGAAAATGATTACAGTTGACCCTTGAACTTATATGTCGGTTTTTTGAGAAATGCTGTAAATCTATTTTCCTTATGATTTTCTTAATAACATTTTCTTTAGCTTTATTGTAAGAATATAATGCTCACACAACATACAAAATATGGGTTAGCCAACTATTCATGTTATCGCTAAGTCTTCTGGACAACAGTAGGCTATAATTTGGGGGGAGTAGGAAGTTATATGTGAATTTTTGACTGTGTGGAGAGTCAGCACTCCTGACCCCCACTTTGTCAGCTGCTTATCTCTTAGAAAGAAATGTAATATTTTTCTTTGTAAAGGTCTTTGTATCATTATATACTTTTTTAAAAAAGACACAGCCTTGAGGTTGATTGTTAGCTTTAAGTAGATCCTGTGTTTTGAAGGGTAATCATTTCTCAAAGCTCATGGATTTGATTCTTTTTCTACATGGATTTTCCCAGCATTTATTCTTGCCAAAGTGAGAGGATATACCTAAGAGGAGAGACCCGTTAACTAATGCATGTGGAGAATTTTCTTTCTGTTTTGGAAGTTTAAAATTTTGTTTAAAATTCCACCTCCTTTTCAGATGGTACTTCTGGTGCCTAAGGCTACTGATGTTTTCTCTGTTTTTATTATCCTCACTTGAGAATATGTTTTTATTGATTTTGGAGTGAGAGAAAGATAGAGACAGACAGACAGACACACAGACACCAATCTGAGAGGGAAACTTTGATTGGTTGTTTCCCATACACACCCTAATTGGGCATCGAACCTGCAATCTTTTGGTGTATGGAATGACATTCCAACCGAATGAGTCATCCAGTCAGGGCATTACTAGTGTTTTCATGGGGAGATGTAGTTATTCCAACATTGTGAGAATTTTTGCTATATCTTGATTCCATTGAATAGTGTTTTGCATAAGCTTATAAACTTTATTTTTTTCTCTTTTATTTATTTTTTATTTTTTTAAATATATTATTGATTTTAGAGAGGAAGAGAGAGGGAAAGAGATAGAAACATCATGATGAGAGAGAATCATTGATCGGCTGCCTTCTGCACATCCCCCATTGGGGATCAAGCCTGCAACACAGGCATGTGCCCTTTATCGAATCAAACCTGGGATCTTTCAGTCCATAGGCTGACACTCTATCTACTGAGCCCAACCAGCTAGAGCTAAGCTTATAAACTTTAGAAGCTTTATTTTTGCAGTTGAATAAATGGTACAGCACTATTAGGATCTTTAAAATGAAATGTAGAACATTAATTTATTAACTTAAAAGTATTGAGCGTAAACCTAAATACTGAAATGACTTATTCTGTATTTCCAGGTGGACTATAGTGGAGGTTTTGAACCTTTCAATGTTCTTCGCTTTAGCCAGAAATTTGTGGATCGAATAGCAAATCCAAAAGATGTCATCCATTTTTTCAGGCGTAGAGAACAAAAGGAAAACAAAGGTATGCTAGTTATTTTTACAAATTAAAAAATGTTCTTACAGGGTTTATTTTAAATCAGTCTTTAATAAAAGACAGATAATAAATTGACAATTGAATAATTAAATTTCTTCTAAAAATTAGATAGCAATATTTTAAAACTATGTTTTCTTTGATTTTTAGACAGAAGGGGCAAGAAAAGGGGAGAGAAAGAGATAGAAATACCTATGAGAAACATCTGTCGGCTGCCTCCTGCATGCCCGCTACTGGGGATTGAGTCTGCCATTCTGGCATGTGCCTGGACCAAGAATTGAACCAGTGACCTCTTGGATGTATGGGACAGTGCTGGACTGTTGAGCCATACTGGCTGGACAATAGCAATAATTTTTAAACTTATGTGGATATCAAAAAAAAAATGGAAGGCTTTTCCTACAGATACAGTTTTTTTCAAACAGTGCTGCTGACTACCAACATATACAGACATTCCAGATTTATTGCTCAAAATAAATATTTGCTATTTATTATACATTATTCACGTTCAGAGAATATATTCTCAAAGTTTGCATTATTAAGTATTTCAGCTTTAAGGGTATACAGTGATTTAGGAAGACACCAGTCTTTTAAAATAGGAAGTGGCCCATAGTTCAATGTTTCTGATGACCAGATAATTACTTCCCATTAAACATTTTGTAAAAACTAATTGTCCTTAATTTAGCATTTATCAAAACAGGTCATCAGACTAAAATAGTTGACCCTTGAACAACACAAGTTTGAACTCCATAGTTTCATTCATATGTGGATTTTTTCAGTGAATATATACAATATTGTATATGTGCTTTCTTTTTCTTATGATTTTCTTAATACTGTATTTTCTCTAGTTTGCTTTATTGTAAAAATACAGTATATAATATACATAATATACAAAATATGTATTAATTGGCTGTTTATATTATCAGTAAGATTTCCACTCTATAATAGTAGGCTATTAGTAAAGTTTTTTGTAAGTTACAAGTTACATACAGTTTTTTCAACTGTGTGTTGAGTCAGCACACCTAAGCCCCAAATTATTCAAGTGTTTCTTCATAATAAATATTATCATGTTAAATAGCGAGGCTGTTTTCCTTAGAGCTATTGAGTCAAAATTTTCATAGAAAAATACAGCCCATGTTTACAAGTAAGCTACCTAGGTTCTTACTAACTTGGATTTAATGGCCTTCTGTATTCATGGTCAAATTGTGATAAAAATTTGTATGCTGTTAATTTAATCTGAAATAGTTTTGTAGATATTTAAATGGAGCTCATAAAATACTGTTTTTGTTGTTTTTTGGGGAGTGCTGTATCAAATAATTATATTTTCGTGTTGTGAATTTTAATTAATTACTTATTGATAATGCTTTACTTTAATTGTTCATCCTTATTAATTGAAATTTTATAGGTGTAGCATTTGTAAGAACAGAATATAAAAGTAGTTACTTGAGTTTTACTTATAGTCAGTTTTGTTCCAATTATTTCTTTTTTATTTAACCATAAACTGCTCAGTAGAAACGAGGACCTCTTTGAATGTTTTATTGAAAGTATTTTTGTTATTTTGACCAACTCTACTATTTGAATACAGGTGTTACATTACTTTACCTGTCTGATGTCTAGAGAATCAGCATAGTAATTGTGCCTACCTCTTAGGATTGTTACGAGGCTTAGTAGAACTGTGTGCGAATGATTTTAACATAGTGCCTGGTATAGTAAAATGTAGTAATCATGTTTATGTATATTAATTCTACTATCTTGAAATTCAAAAGAGATTTTTGTTCATTTTTCTTTACCACTTTGCAAGAGGCACACTGAGCTTTGTGCCTCTTTATTCTCTAGGCTGTTGCATATACTTTTTCCTCTGCCTAAAATAGATTTTCTTTGTGCTAAGTGAGCCTTACTCATTCGGCAAGGCCTGATTCAAATGATAGCTGCATTGGATAGCGCACATTATGCTGAACCTTCTTTAAGAAGAATTAATTTGTTTCTTCTCTGTGAGTCATATTCTTTGTTCTTACCTCTCTGTTGTAGCACTTATCACCCTATATCATAATCATTTGTTCTCATGGGCAGGATCCTATCTCTTTATCATTGTGTTTTCAACGCCAGGTCCAGCACTTGCTATATAATTACTGTTTGTTTCCCTGACAAAGATCAGCAGCAGAGCAGATACTACTGGGCCCCATGCTTCCTGACTTCTACCCAGTGCTCTTCTGTCCCTCACCTACTGTTTTCTGAGGCAGCCAACCTGCTTAGGAATGCAGCAGAAGTGCTTTAAACATACACAGAATAGTAAAAAGATAGGTACTTCAAAGCTGAGATTTAATTAAATTAATAATTTTTAGTTTCATCAAAAGACATTTTAAAGTGAACTCGGCTTTTTCTGTTTTGTTTTGAACTGCATGTAGTAGTGACTGTTCATAGAGTTCTGAGCTACTGCCTTGACTCATCCCAAGGCCCTGGCAGTGTTACTTATCCACAGCTGCTTCAGTATTATCAGTAAAGATGTCACTATAATGGAAAAAAATAAATAACATCTTAGTATTATTATTGAGGTAGTTTTTATCTTGAGCGACCCCTGAAATGGTTTGGGGACCCCCAGAGGTCTGGGGACCTCCATGTGAGAATTGCAAGAAATACACCACTTAAAGATTCAGAAAACAAATACAGACTGTGGCTATTAGCAAAAATGCCATGGGTTTATTTTTTTTACTTAGAATTTACCACATTGAACAAGCCAAAAGTTGATAACATTTGACCACATCTTCTCTACTGACAGCACCCGGAGTGAGTTTGGGTGCTGTGTGTAATAACAGAAGCTGCTCCTTTTTCAAGAATTTCTTTCTTCTAGGAGAAGAGATCAACTTTGGGAAGTTCATTACAAAACCTTCCGAAGGAACAACTCTAAGGGTAGAAGACCTTGTAAAACAGTATTTTCAAACTGCAGAGAAGGTAATTCCTTAATTTCAGTTCACAATTCAAATAATGGCTCTTACAATAACAGATTTTTACTTAGAATTTGTATAATGGATAGTTGAAATAAAAGGAATCCTCAAAATGTTTTCAAGAAGTAAGTATGATGGCAATTAATTGCATGCATTTATAGCTACTGTACACCAAAAGAAATTATATGCTTAGTTAATGTTATTAACCTGTTAACTGAGCGGGACGTATAAATACGTCAAATGTAAACAATATCAGGTACGGGTAGGACATATGAATATGTCCTTGAAATATATGTTGCGCCCTGAGACGGGTGGGACGTATATTTCTGAACAACAAAGGTATTAGTCATCCATACATGTCTCAACATGAATTTAAGACACAGAAGGAATCAGTATAATTTTGCTATTGAGAGTGGTAGACGTGTTATGGGTGAGCAGTGACGGGTACGTACTTACACTTACCTATTTTTGTATTATATATTATTTACTTATATTTTTTATATCTCCAACCTTTATATAATAGAAAAACATATAAAATTGATCCAATCATCAATAATTTGTCAGAAAAGTTTAAAAGTTTTTATGTATGTGAATGAGAAATATGCGTAGATGAATCTCTTTTATTATGGAAAGGGAATTTATCTTGGAAACAATATATATCTACAAAAAGAGCTAGATTTGGAATGAAGTTGTTTATTTTGAGTGAAAGCCAATCTGGATACGTACAAAATATAATTTTATACACAGGCAAGGACACAAATTATGGTTTGAACTACCCACAAGAAAAACAATCAACAAGAATTGTTTTGGGGTTAACACATGACTTACTGAATAAAGGGTATAGGATTTACTTAGATAATTTTTATACATCAAATTCATTTGGCTGAACTCTTGTGTCAAAACAATACAGACATTATTGGAACAATGAAGATAACAGAGTCAGAATCCCCAGGGAAATAAAAACAAAAAAATTACAGAAAAATGTACATATAGTAAGAATCAAAGACAAACTTATGGTTTTAAAATGGAAGGATAAAAAAGACGTATTGATGCTCAGTTCTATCCATAATGACTAAAAGACAATGATTGAAAAGAGAGGAAGAAGGCAAGAAAAACTGAATGTTGACCTGGATTATAACAAGAATATGGGCGGCGTAGATTTGGGAGATGGAGTTATGGTGGCCTACACGACTGCCCGTAATAGGGTAAAAAAATTTTATAAAAAAATTTTTCTACGGTTAATTGATAATGTGCTGCTTCAATGCATATATTATATACCAAAAAGACAAAGGTCATTTGGATCGATTACACTTTTTGATAGAGTGTGTAGAGAAATTAGTAGATAACAACATAGTGAAAACCCATGCAAAGACATCAACAAGCAGCTCTACATCTAAACCATCACGCTTAGTTGAAAGGCATTTTCCAGAACAAATGAAAAGCGATATAGGAAAAACTAAATCCAGGAAATGCCGAGTTTGCTACAAAAAAGGTGTTAGGAAAGAATGTACAATATATACTGGTGTCCAGATTGTAAGGTAGCACTATGTATCAACAATTGTTTTAAAATATATTACATGGAAGTTGAGTTTTGAATTTTTACATCTATATCTCAATTTTTTACTCAATATTTCTATTTTATTTGTGTGCTTTTGTTTATTGTTCTGTAATTGTTAACTTTTTCATATTTTTTATTGTGTATAGAAATAAAAAATGTATATTTTTTGTAATCTTTATAATTGTTTGTAAAATTTATAATTTTTTAATTCGATGTTTTCATTTTTTTGTTGGTATTCTTTTCTATTTGTTTGTAATTTTGTATTTTCCTTTGTGCTTTATATATAAATAAACGAAAAAATATATATTTCATTTATTTTAATTAAATATAAATAAAAAATAATAATATAAAATTACGTCCACTGGGCATGACGTACTGACACGTCCTAGTGAAAGAGTATGCGCCCGTTGTGCGTTGCGTAATTAAAAAGGGAACTCCCCGGTTAACAGATTAATAATAATATTATTGTTGCTAGAGGCCCAGTGCATGAAATGCGTGCACGGGTGTGTAGGGGGGTGTCTCTCAGCCCAGCATGCACCCTCTCCAATCTGGGACCCCTCGAGGGATGTTCAACTGCCCGGGATCGGGCCTAAATGGGCAGTCGGACATCCCTCACAATCCAGGACTGCTGGCTCCCAACTGCTTGCCTGCCTGCCTTCCTGATTTCCCCTAACCACTTCTGCCTGCCAGCCTGATCACTTCTAACCACTCTCCCGCCAGCCTGATTGATGTTTAACTGCTCCCCTGCCAGCCTGTTTGCCCCTAACTTCCCTGCTCTGCCAGCCTGGTCACCCCTAACTGCCCTCCCCTAAAGGCTTGATCACCCTCAACTGTATTCCCTTGTAGGCCTGGTCCCTCCCAACTGCCCTCCCTTGCTGGCCATCTTGTGGTGGCCATCTTGTGTCCACATGGGGGCAGGATCTTTGACCACATGGGGGCAACCATTTTGTGTGTTGGAGTGATGGTCAATCTGCATATTACTCTTTTATTAGATAGGATTGTAGCTATTGTTGATGTTGTTATCCTCTTTTTTATTTACTTATTTATTTTTTGATTTTTATTGATTTTTTACAGAGAAGAAGGGAGAGAGATAGAGAGCTAGAAACGTCGATGAGAGAGAAACACCAACCAGCTGCCTCTTGCACACCCACTACCGGGGATGTGCCTGCAACCAACGTACATGCCCCTGACCGGAATCGAACCTGGGACCTTTCAGTCCGCAGACCAACGCTTTATCCACTGAGCCAAACCGGTTTCCGCTATCCTCTTACTTTTTATTGCTACTGCATAAGTCTGAATCCACGATTTACTTTTCTTGCACCTGGATATAATTTGAGAATTACATTATTATTATTAAATTTATCTTTATTATTGAATGTATTATAGATGTCCCCTTTTGCTCCCCATTAATCCCCTCTATGCCTCATCTACTCCCTGCCCCTTGTCCAGGCCTTCACTACACTATTTTCTGTGTCTATGGGTTATGCATATGTGCATATAAGTTCTTTGGTTAATCTTTCCCCACCCACTTACCCACCCCTGCCTTCCCTCTTAGATTCACCATTCAATCTGTTCCATTCTTCTCTGCCTCTGGGTCTGTTTTGTTCATCAGTTTATTTTGTTCATTAGATTCCACATATGAGTGAGATCATGTGATACTTGTCTTTCTCTCACTGGCTTATTTCATTTATCATAATACTCTCTAGGTCTCTCCATGCTCTCTCAAAGGGTAAGAGAGCCTTTTTTTACAGCTGTATAGTATTTCATTGTGTAAATGTACCATAGCTTTTTTTATCCACTCAACTACTTATGGGTACTGGGCTGTTTCCAGATCTTAGCTATTGTAAATTGCTAATTACATCACATTATTAATATAGGAATCACATTATTAACATAGCTACCACATTGTGAAGCTCCTTTTTTCTTTCTTTTTTTTACTTAGAGTTCTGGCTAAGAAAGAATTCAGAGACAAGACTGAAATTATAAGAGAAAGTTTATTTAGAAAGCACAGAGGTAGAAGTGAACAGTAGAAGAAATGGGTTCAGAAAACAAGTATAGAGGCAAAAGAAGGGTTCTTGGAGTTTAGGAAAGAGCGAGGCAAGGAAAGCATGCCTGGGGGAGGCGATGGAGAAAGATGTGGGCGTGTTTTATAAAGAGCTGCCAAAGCAGTTTTTAAGCCATAAGTATATGCCACTTTAAGATCCTCCAGTTGTATTAGTTTCCTTTTGCTGCTGAATCACAAACCTAGTGGTTTAAAACAGCACAGGTTGCTCTGACCAGTTTGGCTCAGTGGATAGAGTGTCGGCCTGTGGACTCAAGGGTCCCAGGTTCAATTCCAGTCAAGGGCATGTACCTTGGTTGCGGACAAATCCCCAGTAGGGGGTGTGCAGGGAGGCAGCTGATGAATATTTCTCTCTCATTGGTTTTTAAAAATATATATATTTTATTGGTTTTGTACAGAGAGGAAGGGAAGAGATAGAGAGCTAGAAACATCAATGAGAGAGAGTCATATTTTGTGGCTCCTGGGCAGCTGCTTCCATCTTTGCAGCCAGCAATGTTGTATCTCTCTGGCCATTTTCTCCAACTTACATCTTTCTCCGACTCCCTCTTCCACTTTTAAGGAAATCCATAATAACACTGGGCTTACCTCAGTACTCCCTCATAAACTGATTTAGCAACCTTAGCTCCATCTGTAACCTTAGTTCTCCTTTGCCATGTTACATATTCACAGGTTCCAGAGATTAGGATATGGATATTTTTAGGGTTAGCACACTGGTTAACATAATCACTTAATCAGTAGCTGCCCCTTCTGGTCTCCGTATTCCAGCCAGTCCAGCCTCTGCATGTTCACCTGCCTTGTTTTCACTTTGCTTTTCCTGACTCCTAATATTTATTAGTTGGCTTAATTGCTGTCCATTGTTTTGTTTTCCCTTCAATAACTAGATAACTTGTCTTTTACCCTGGAAACATTATTCTTGCATTTTTCTTTCTCATTTAGAATTATTTTGTAAGGGATGGATACTATTTTCTGCATCCATCCAGTGATTTGTATCTCTCTTGCAGAATGTGCAGCTCTCACTTCTAACAGAAAGGGGGATGGGCGAAGCAGTACAAGAATTTGTGGACAAGGAAGAGAAAGATGCCATAGAGGAATTAGTGAAATACCAGTTAGAAAAAACACAGCGATTTCTTAAAGAACGTCATATTGATGCCCTAGAAGATAAAATTGATGAAGAGGTGAGTAACTAATTTGGGGGGATAAGTCTATTTAGATAGTCTCTCCTTAAGAGTAGCTTTTGAGTTTCCTTCTAGTAAACAGTTCATTATTTACTCTAATTTGTTTAGTGTTTTTTTTTATATATAAATTTTTTTAAAATATATTTTATTGGTTTTTTACAGAGAGGAAGGGAGAGGGAGAGAGACTAATGTCGATGAGAGAGAAACATCGACCAGCTGCCTCTTGCACACCCTCTACCCGGGATGTGCCCACAATCAATGTACATGCCCTTGACTGGAATCGAACCGGTCCACTGACGCTCTACTACTGAGCCAAACCGGTTTCGGCAGTGTTTTTTTTTTTAAATTTTATTGGGATGACATTAGTCATCATGGGCATATAGGTTTCATGTGTGGGTTACTAATTTACAAAATCTGTATATAGGACAACGTGCCCACCACCCAAAATCAAATCTTCCTCTGTCACCTCTTATTAGGACCCTTCTCCTCCCCAGGCAATCACCACACTGTTGTTTGTGTTCGTAAGTTTCAATTTTATATTCTACATATGAGTGAAATCATATAGTTCTTAGCTTTTTCTGTCTGACTTATTTCACTTCACATAATGTTCACACAGTCCATCCATGTTGTTGTAAATGACGCTATTTCATCCTTACGGCCATGTAGTACTCCAGTGTGTATACATCAGTATCAAATCCTAATATCAGTGGACCTGTACAGTTCAAACTGCATGTCCAAGGGTTGACTGTTCTGTATTGGTCAAAGTGGCAACAACTTGAGAAAAATATTTAGTGTGCTGCTGATGAGAGAACGAAGTTTGAACAGTTGCCCTGAGACACAGTTTGATAGTGTTTGACCCTTTCACTCAGCTCTGGAGAATTTTTCTAAGATAATAGTGAGGTAGAGATTGGTGTATGGAGTAACTCATTTTAGTGTTATCTGCTGTTATTTCTTTCAACAAACAAATCTGGATCCTGTTTCCCTTTACTATATTTTTTGGTTCCTCTTTACAGCAAAATTGCTTCAAGGATTTTTCTATATTTTCTGCCCTGATTATTTTCCCTTCTTTTCCTCTTAAACCCATCTTAAACTTCATTATTCCACTGGAACTGCTCTTGTCATGGTCACTGGTGATCTCTGTTGCCAAGTCCCCTAGCAATTCTCCACCTTAAATTTCACTTGACCTCTTCCTAAACCTTTTTTAAGGACTCCATACTCTTTTGGTTTTTTTTCTTCCTCCTTGTCTGTGTATTCTTAATCTGTATTCTTAATCTCTCGTCTCCAACCTTTTAAGTTGGAATCCTTAGAACTCAGTCCTTGGACTCTGCTATCTACACATTCTTTTTTGTAATCTCCAGCATCCTGGCTTTCAATACCATCTCTTTGTTCAGTGGTGACTTTCAAAGTCTAGCCAAAATATTTCCTCTTAACTCTAAGCAACAGCCTACTAGTTATTTCCACTGGAATGCTTAATAGACATCCCAAACTTTTTTTTTTTTTTAATCCTCACTCGAGGATATTTTTCCATTGGTTTTTAGAGAGTAGAAGAGACAGGGAAAGTTAGAAATATCGATGTGAGAGAAACACATCAATGGGTTGCCTCCTGCCTGAGCCCCGATCTGGGGGACCTAGGAGGAGCCTGCAGCCGAGGTAAGTGCCCTTGACAGTAATTGAGCCCAAGACCCTTAGCTCCGTAGGCTGATGCTCTATCCACTGAGCAAACCAGCTAGGGTGACATCTCAAACTTTTAACATTCCCCTCATAATTGCTAATTCTCAGCCACTACTCTCTCTGTAGTGTTCTAAGAGAAGCACCATTCTTTCGTTTGCTCAGACCAAAATCCTGAAGTCACTCTCTTTCTGGACCTGTCTCCTGTCTGTAAATCCTTTTTTCTACCTTGAGAATATATACAGAATGTGACAACTACCTACATTCATCACTGCCAGTGGGCTAAGGCATTGCCATTTTTCAGCTAAATTATTCCAGTAGCCTCCAAACTAGTCTCCTTAATTTCTACCCTTGCCCTGTCTCCACCCCCTATTCTGTCCTTAATTTAGCTTTGGATAATCCTAACATATTTCGGACGAAGTCATTCCTACCTTTAAAAAAGTTTTTCCAGTTTCTTGTAAAAGGCCTTATGCAGTCTGGTGTTCTGTTACTTCTTTATCTTCTTATCTGTTCCAGCTATAGCAACCTTCTTGCTATTTCTTAAAAATACCAGTCATGCTTCTGCTCCAATGTCTTTGCATAGATTTTTTTGAATGGAGTGATTTTCTCCAGTTATTTGCAAGATCCATTCCCTGCCTTTTAACATCTCTGCTCATACATTACCTTTCCGATGAGGCCTTTCCTGGTCATCCTATTCGGATTTCACCCTGTCCTTCTTTATTTTTATTTTTCTCTGAGCACTTACCACGTTTTGCAGAGATTTAACAGGTTCCGATATTTGAGAAGACTCACAGGACTCCATTGAGCATACTCAAGGTTTTATTTAAAGGCTGGTGATTGAGCACCTAGAAACCAATAGGTCACCAGTTTGATTCCTGGTCAGGACACAATCCCAGGTTCAGGTTTGATCCCCAGTGGGGGGTATGCAGGAGGCAGTGGATAGATGAAGTTTCTTTCTCATCGATGTTTCTATCTCTCTATCCCTTTCCCCTCTTCTCTCTCTAAAAATCATTAAGAACTTTTTTTTTTTTTTTTTTAAGGCAAAGGGTAGAGTAGAGGAAGAAAAAGAATATAGGGACTCATTAAGGATCCTATTTGCATATAGTGTGTCCTGGATTGAAAACCAAAATCTGTGTAGAATTTCCAAAGGGGTGTTTTATCCCCCTCTGGTCACAGAATCAAATAATGGTATCTAACTGGTTATTTAGTTTGAACAAAACTGGTCTTAGAATTGCCAAAGGCTCCTCAGAAATAAAAATAGAGCTCTTTCAGTCTAGCTTTAAATTAACTGGATCCTATATGCCTTCTAAAATACAGTATAACTTGTTATTTTGTATATTGACTATCCTTACACTCCCTTTCTCTCTCTCTCTCTCTCTCTCTCTCTCTCTCTCTCTCTCTCTCTCTCTCTCTCTCTCTCTCTCTCTCTCTCTCACACACACACACACACACACACACACACACACCAGATTGTAAGCTCCAGGAGGGCAGAATTTTTTACTATTTTGTTCAGTATTATATTCTCAGTTTCTTCTATGCACTTGTGCAGAGTAGGTGCTTAGTAAATATGAGCTGAGTACATTATTAAATGAATGGAGCTTCTCTCTATCTACATAACTATTTTGAGACCCTTTTGAACCAATATAAAAGGAATCTCTGGTATTCTTCATGGTACTAGGACCAAGGTCAGCAAACATTCAGTGGTTGACTGTTGATGAAATGGATCTTCAGGGGCCCACTACTTCAGAAAGGCTCCTGAATGTCTGTAGCTAGATGTTCAAGAATGATTTGAGCAATGTAATAAATAACTGAAACCTCTTAAAAGTGAGATTTTTAAATCTTGCTAACGTATAACACCGGTAGGATATTAGAAGTTTTTTCTCTGCAGTTTGGCAGTTTTTTCAGAGACATGGAACTTTTTGGCAGCAGGTAATAAAAGTTTGATTAGGGCCAATAATATTTTTTAGAGTACATTTCTGAAGTTTTAATGTAAGTCACTGGGAAAATATGATTTCTTTAATCAATGTTTTGTGAGAGAAGACTATACTTAAATTTCCAGATTGTGTTGAAGATGGAAAGCATCTGTTATTAATCACTTGTAACCCGTATTTTACAATTCACATAACAGGAATAAGCAACATTTTTATTATTGACTCTTATAACCCAGGTACGTCGTTTCAGAGAAAGCAGACAGAAAAATACTAAAGAAGAAGATGATGAAGTCCGAGAGGTAAGTTTTCTACTCTGAATCCCTATGTTTACATGTCAGTTTTTTAAATTACCAAGGAGGTGCTAATTTAGCCTCTGCCTGAGGCTACCCAGCAGGAGCTATGGAGAGATATGCAGATTCCTTTTCTTTGTTTGGGTTTTGGAGGTGCCCAGATGAGGCCCAGCTGTGAAGCAATGCCAGCTTCTTTGGGGCCTTGGGGCTTCTTTTGGATGTTCTGGGTCTCACTGACTCAACTACAATTTGTTAGGGAAGTTTAGATTGCAAAGGGCCAGGTCATTCATATGCAAAAGCCTCTGAGCACAGCTGGGGTGGGGCAGAGTCTCAGGTCAGAGCAAACCACAATGGCTTCTTGTCATTGACTACCCCCGGGGCTAAGAGGCCCTCCCCTCCCCCTCAGTGTCCCTTGGTAATCACTGCAAGTACCTCTGAGAGAAAGCCGCCCTCGAGTTCCACCTATTGCCAGACAGTCCACTTTCTCCCTGTATGAGTCTGGGTTTCCAGAGTCTCACCAGGAACTGGAGTTCAGAGCAGTCGGGAGCTTTTATCTCCTTCCTGCTTGAAAAAGACCCGCATACTCAGTTGCCAGACCTCTCCATGTGCGCCTCTCTATCTCTGCCTTTACTTCCACAGCTTCTCTGAGTCTCAGTATGCTTTTCTCTTTCCTTCTAGTTGTAGAATTTCCACTCAGCCAGCCTTTCTGTGGTTCTGGATGATGTCCGTTTTGTCTTTTAGTTGTAGTTTAGAAGTTGTTGTGCAAGGTAGCAGTTCACGTGTTTACCTATGCTGCCATCTTGGTTTCTCTCTATATGTTCACATTTAAATAAAAAACCAGACAGTGAATATTTTAGGCTTTGCAAGTCATATATGGTCTCTGTCACATACTCTTCTCATTTTTATTTTTTTTATAGTCCTTTAAAAACATAAAAACTATTCTTAGTCTGATCCATAGTCCATAGTTTATTTGGCCTCTGATTTCTTACTTTCTGACTTTGAGGCAGGGTTGATATCCTCTTTCAAGTGGTAATATCAAGTCTTGTTCTTTACCTAAAATTTTTTTTTTGGGGGGCGGGGGGCAGAAAGGATTGTTAGGGCATTGTTCTTTCTCTAATTGAATTGTAAGAGTACTCATGTGTGCATCCTGTGTATATGTAGCATTTTTAGGGTTTTTGTCATGCAAAAAAGTATCCTCCATTCGTAAGGAGGTTTTTTTCTTCTTTGTTTAAATCCAGAGTGGGTGATGAATTAAATGTCTTTATTGCATCTGTGGAGATAAGCAGATGGTGGGGGAGATCCCCCACTGTGTTCTGTTAATATGGTGAATTGTAATACATGGCCTGTTATTTACCCATCCTCAGTACCACTTTGTGAACCTCCTGGTAATGGGTGTACTGGTCTTTCCTTTGATTCTCTTTGTTTGCCTTAATATTCATAAGTAAGATATTGTAATTTTCTTTTTTTCATGTAATCTTACATCAGTTTTTAATGCCAAGTTCTCCTGGCTTTATAAAAAGAAATTGGAAACTTCCTTTATCCTCTGGGACTATTTAAATAGCAGTGTTCTGTTCTTTGAAGATTTGGTAGAATTTACCTTTGAAGTTTTCTGGTTATTGTTCTTTCAGGAGTATAGTTCTTTTAGTGATTTTCTCAAAGTTTTCTTTGATAATTAGTTATTGAATGTCTCTTTTTTTACTCAGTTTAGGTAATTTATTTTCTAAATTACTTAGAATTGAGCATAATATTTTATCATGATTCTTTTATTTTCCTTGGATCTTTGTTTCCTCCATTCTCATTTTTTTTTGCTTTAATTTAATAATTTAATTGTTTTTATTTGTTCTGATATGCAGTATTTTTATTGCCATTAATTTCTAGATATTATAGAATTTTAGTTTTGTTTTTCAGGTTTGGAGTTAGTGGTTTTATTTTGCTATTATTAATTTCTAATTTTATTGCATGGTTATTACTCTTTAGACTCTGATATTTTTTAGCACCCCATTATATATTACTTAAAACAGTTTATGGGGTCTTGAAAAGTATGTTATTTTCAGAGTATATAGTTTAGCACATATCAGTTAGATCTAGCTGATCTGAAATTGGGTCCCCTTTTTTTCTTTTAAATCTACTTTTTAAAATGACATCTGATTCTTATTATTTGTGGTAGTTATGTTTTGAAAAGTCACTAAATTAGTGAACACTGAACAATTGCTTCGAGGGAAAATATAGAATTAGGTTTCTGCTAGCCGTTAAACATTTTCATCAGCTGAACAATATATAACCTTTTCATATGTGTTTATGTTACATTCTTGATTTGTTAACGTGGAACTCATGGCCAGGAGCCCTATATTTCAGGATGAAAGGGGCCACATGCTAACCTAACATGTGTGGCAGTCTTGCAAACTGTAAGACCTAAACTAACCACAAGGATGGTCTGAAATTAAACCTTTAAAAGCAGTTATGGTGGGTAGCTATGTCCTAAGCTGGTACCTTCATTGACAAGGTCAATCTATAATAGACCTTAACTGAGCCTATTATCTTTTTGCATCTAAGATAACATACCTATGAAATGTCTGGATAACTTGTAACTTACCTTTTTCTGGACCCTCGGGGCATAGCCAACTGTTCCTGGGTAGCTAGACAGAGACCATGAATTCCTTCACTTTTATTGTTACCTTGTTAATTGTTGACTGTTAATTATCCTGCACCCACTTAAGTAAAAGAAGTATGTGTCTATCATTTTACTTTTATCCAATCCCAGAGGTTTCCCCACTTTACTTTCTCCTGCCTTCCTAATCTATCACCAGTGGGTTTTATATAACCCACTTACATCTCCTCTTTTCATTGTAATGTATTAAACAAGGTGAAAAACTTTCATTCTCTGGAGCATTATCCCAGTCTGTTGAGATTCTACTTCCCAGCAATTGTCGACAGTTTGGCTCAAATAAACTCACAAAAATTCTTTATAGGTTTGAACGTTTTTACGTTAACAAAGGACACTTGTTTAAAGTACAAGAGCTGAAACAAAAGGGCTGATTGTCACTTTGTTTGACTTTGTTTGTGTACCTGTGTGTCAGACTACTTAGAATTTTCACTACTTTGCACATGTCCACGAATGACCATGAAAGTATCAGGATTGTTTTTGGGATTACAAATACATTTTGGCAAGTAGGTGAATTTGCAAATATGGAATCCAAAATGAGGATTGACTGTACTTCATCTGGGATAAGAAAGATGAATTGGAATATTTTTCTACTACTTAAAAATATTTTTTGTTGTATTCCCTGAAGTTTTTTACTTTGTGTTATGACATCATATTGAGTCCTTCATATAATAATTTGACTGTTATTTCACTGCAGCTAAGATCATCATTATGAGGCTGTATTACTTCCCCCTCCAAACACCCACTTCTCTCCTATTTATACCCTGCCTGCTTTGTTCTCATCTCCTCTTTTTAGCTCTGTCTCTCCTTATTTCATGGCCTTACAGAGAGCTTGGAAATGCTCTAGCCACTATAACTGGACAAACAACGGGTCTGTGCTGCCTGTCACTACTGGAGCCAATTAAGCAGAGACAGGGTTGAATCCTATATGAGCGTTTATTCCAAGACTGCCGGCAGCGCGGGAGAGCAGCAGGTCATCCACAGATATGCTCTGTACCCCACCGTAAGGCGGCTGCTTATATTGGTAGAACTTCAAAACAAAGCAGGCAAAAGGGCAATGGGCAGTTTACCAACATGCAAAGGGCTGGGGTCTTCAAAGGGCTGGCGAATCTGGTTCTGCAGCAAAGGTGTTCATCTTTCCACGATGATAGGCAGCTCCCAAAGGGGAGGAAGGGCTGCATCTCCAGGTCAGCTCCCAGGTCCGGAGTGTGACCACCAGCCAGGTTAGAATGTACCTTCTTTAATCAGAATAAAACAATCACCGTTAACAGAGCGTGATTAATATTTCTTACAGTCCTAGCTGGTTCCCTAACATTCTGTTTATGCCCTTATCACCACCTCTTTTAGACCCAGAATTAATCATTCTAAGCAAAAGAATCTTGTTATGGCCTCTTGATACATACAGATCAATGGTAGAAAGCTCTGCACTGCTAAAACTCTTCTCCCAACCTTCTTCCTTTGCCAGGTCACATGTTCACCATATCCATCAACTCTTCATAAATTTTGTATTTGGGGGTTAGATCTATTTTTTTATTTTAGTGAAAATGTATGGTGTTTTATTTTTGTTCTCCTTGTTAAATTTTGTTTGGCTTAAGGGAGGAGATCAAAGCAACATTGCTTTTATTCTGTTTTTAATAAGAAAATCTGTATTCATTTCAGCACATTTTGTTACATCCCAAACGTGTCTATCTAAACAGTTTCTCCTTCCTTCCTTCCTTCCTTCCTTCCTTCCTTCCTTCCTTCCTTCCTTCCTTCCTTCCTTCCTTCCTTCCTTCCCTCCCTCCCTCCCTCCCTCCCTCCCTCCCTCCCTTCCTTCCTTTGTTGATTAATCCTTTACCATTTTTATCCAACCTCAAAATCCACCTTCCCTGACAGCTATCAGTCTTCTGATAGGTGTGTGTGTGTGTGTGTGTGTGTGTGTGTGTGTTTTTACCAAATTAAAGTTTATCGTATATTCTTGATTTTCATTCTTCTTCCAGGTTTCAAATTGCTATATTTTATCTAATTCTTGTTATACATTTATGAGATACTAGAGGTTCTGGGCATGAAATTTCATGCACTAGAGGGGTCCCTCAGCCTGGCCTACTCCCTCTCGCAGTCTGGGACCCCTTGCTCCTAGTACCCGCCTGTGGCGAAGGCGGGAGAGGCTCCCCTCACTGCCACATTACTTGCCAGCCATGAGCTGGCTACTGGTTGAGCTGTGCTCCCCCTATGGGAGTGCAGTGAGTCCAGGGGGCAGCTCCTACATGGAGCATCTGCCCCCAGTGGTCAGTGTGCGTCATAGCAACAGGTCATTCTGCCTTTCAGTAGATTTGCATATTAGGGTTTTATTATATAGGATTGCTTATGTTTTTCTGATTGCAAAAGTAATATTTTAGAAAAAGTACATTGTAGAATAGTTGTAATATCTATCTATATATATAAGGCTAATATACAAAGTGTCCCCGCAGGAGTTTGACTGAGAGACCAGGAGTTCTGTCACTCGCTATGACATGCGCTGACCACCAGGGGGCTGCGCAGAATGAAAGCAGGCCCCAACTGGCAGGCAGGGAAGGGAAGTCCTGGCTGGCATCCTGAGGCCCCAATTGGCCCTGATTGCTAGCCAGGGTTAGGGACCCTACCCATACACTAATTTCGTGCACCAGGCCTCTGGTTTAAGAATAAAAAAAACAAAAGCATCTTAAAATTTCATCATCCCAAAATAACAGCTGTTGTGATTTTTTTTCTTCTTATTTATTGAGCCCATTGTACAAGGTAGTTCAAAAGTTGACAGTCTCTTACAAATGATGGCATTGAATTACGGGCATTGGCAATCTGTCTCCCAGTTCTGACAGTGTAGATTCTGTGAAATTTTATCTTTCTTGGGAAACCTTTTAAAAGGTCTTGGTTTGCAGGTAGTATTATAAATCGATCTGACAAGTTACAGGTTATGAATCTGACTGATGGGGGAAGGAGGTTTTCTCGCTTTACACTCTTATAGCATGGCTAGTGAAAAATAATAACATAGACAGTTTTTTAATATTAAATGTTCATCTGAGTGGCCAGACTAATGACTTTTTAGGATGATGCACTTTCTACTAATATGTAACTTCTCCTTGTTATTTTCTCAGGCCATGAGTAGGGCCAGAGCCCTCAGATCTCAGGCAGAGGACTCTGCTTCCGCCTTCAGTGCTGATGACCTCATGAGTGTAGATCTGGCAGAACAGATGGCCGATGACTCCGATGGTGGCAGCACAGCAGCAGCCAGCCAAGGAAGAGGCCGAGGAAGAGGCCGAAGAGGAGGAAGAGGACAGAGTTCAGTGTCAAGAGGAGGGTCTCAGAGAGGACGAGGTAAGCACTGAGGACACTGAGTCTTTGCCCACATTTAGACTATGCCCTTGAGTGGGAAATACAGTTCTGTATTCCTTTGGTATAAGTGAGGTACACAGTCTTCTAAAAATTTATTTTGATAATAAATTCAGCTTTATTGTAGTTCTGACATGAACATTTTAATAATAAATTTTAATGGGCTGTATTGTACAAAGGGTTTTAATTGCTCTAAATAACGTGTTTTTTTTGTGTGTGTGTGTTTTTTAAAAGAACACTGTATTTTTTCACACAGCACCTTTTGGTACATTTGATGTCATTATCTTTTACACGTACAAAGGAATAGTGAGGCAAATATGAGGTGTTGAGCAAATGGCTAGCTAATGACAGTGGCAGCAGGAAGAAAACTCCAGATCATAAAAATTATTATTTTTGTTACCATCATTAGATGCCCACCCTCTTATAAAGTGGCTTCATAAAATTTGTTTGGGAAAAAACTACCCCAAATACAATTTGATTTCTTAAAGCAATTACTAACATTAATCGCCATCATTGTGTTTAATGTGACTTGTGTTTACTGTTGTATTTACTATTGTCACTGAATAGTCCAAACAATAGAAAATAGTCATCCAGTGACCTCCTGATCCTTAGGAATATTTAAAAACTATTTTTATTACATATTTTTTCATAGGAAAAATTGATAGTACATTAGTTAAAAATATCTAGAGAGAGAAATCTTAATGTTCTAGTGATAATTCTGATAATTTTCCTTACATTTAGAGAAATTTTTCTTAAATTTTAATTGGAACAGTATTAGCCAAATATGGTGGAAGTATAGTCTCTGAAAACTGACTGATCAAATTCTAGATGTTTCTTCTTTTGTATGTCTTTGTCTTTTTAAACATAAGTTATATTTTGACATAACTTCATTAAGATTTTATTTTGGTGAGGTTGGATAAAAACCTTGGCTGCTGACGTGACTGTATGTTTATTTGCTCATTATTCTCACAGCAGGCACTCGTCTGGAAACTTCTACTCGAAGCAGAAGTTCAAAGGCCACTATGTCAACATCTAGAAATATGACTATTCTGGATGGTGAGTATAGACGGCAAATGATTATCTAGCAGTTATTTGTAAGTTTCAACAGAGGAAGACCTAGGAAACGCCCTTAGTAAATCTCATTCCTCTGTGTTGCCATCACTGGGTAGTCAGAAGGGCTATCAGAATCACAGGATAAATTATGCTAATTAAAAGATCTTCACCATTGATTGGAGCTCTTGGAGAGGGTGTGCTGTTTGTTTTTTTTTCTTAAAAAAATAATTCTTTATTATTGAAAGTACATATATCCCCTTTTTTCCTCCATTGACCCCCCCCCCCCCCTTCCAGCCCGCCCGGCTCCTGGCCCTCACCACCCCATTGTCTGTGGAGAGGGTGAACTTGAAAAAGTAATTATTATAGCCCTGACAGTTTGGCTCAGTGATTGGAGCATTGGCCCATGGACTGAAGGGTCTTGGGTTCAGTTCCTGGTCAAGAGCACATACCCAGGTCCAGTGAGGGCATGTGTGGAAGGCTACCAATCGATGTTTTTCTTTCACATCAATGTTTTTCTCTCTCTCTTCCCCTCTTCTGCTCCCCCCTTTCCTCTCCCTTCCACTCTCTCTAAAACTCAATGGAAAAATATATTCAGGTGAGGAGAAACAAAAACAGTAACAAAAAAAATTTTTTTAAGCAATTTTTACAATTGTTTACTTTTAGACAAATTTGATTATTTTCCTTTTATCGAAGGGTTATTAAGACAGAAAAAGTCAGTATATCTACACTGTTCAGAGAGAAGGAACTTCTTTTTTCTTCTAAATCCTCACTTGAGAATATGTTTGGAGAGAGGAAGGAAAAGAGAGAAAAAGATCGATGTGAGAGAAACATCAATTAGCTGCCTCCAACATACCCTTGGACTGGGGATCAATCCCAAAACCCAGGCATGTGCCTGACCAAGAATTGAACCCACAACCTTTTTGGTGTATAGGACGACACTCTTAACTAACTAAGCCACTTGGCCAGGGTGGAACTGCTTCTTAATATATTGTTTACTTTCCTTCCTCATTCTGCTTTTGTCTCTACTGTTAGTATAGAGTCATGTGAGCTATATATAAGGGAAATTATGGTTAGGTTTCTTTGAATTCATTTCCTGTCTGTGTTCTAAAAATCATCCTCAGACTAATGGGACTTCCTCAGAAAAATGGGACCTCCTATTTTAAGTAATAACAATATAAAAATTTAATAAACTCTTTTAAATAGTTTGGTTTATGAGATCAGCTGAAGTTGTAAGATATATGAAAATACATGTCAAAATAGGTGGTGATAATTTTTTCCTCCCATATGTATTTTTTTATATTATCTTCTGACTATAGATAACTTTTATAGGTAGTAGGATTAATTTATGATGAATGAAGAGTTGGACTAAATCTCACAAAATGAAATTTAGCAAGGGTAAATATAAAATGCATTTATATACAGGGAGTCAGAAATAAATAAAACAGTTCTGAGAGGTATATGACATTAGCCAAAACCTCAGTCAAAAAGACTTAGATCAGTAAGAATTCTACAGGTTGACCTAACTATCCAAATCTACTGATAATAGTGTCTTCTCAAGCATTATTAATAGGAGTTGTACATCTCTAAAGTAAGTAAGTTCTCCCCGTGCACAGAATTACAAGCAATATGCCAAAAATACTGTGCTCATCTTTGGAACTGTATTTTAAGAGGGATACCAGCTATATATAATCACTCAGAAGACAAACCATATATTTTTTAAATGGTAGAAATTACTTGGAATATCAGATCTGGAAAAAATTCCAAGCCTTTACATAAATTAAGTCCTATCATGAAAGATCAAATAGATTTGACTTGTATAGTCCCAAAGGTGGTGATTTTAAATCTATTTTGATGCCCTGGCCTGTGTGCTTAGTGGTTAGAGCATGGACCCATGCACCAAAGGGTCAAGGATTTGATTCCCAGTCAAGGTCACGTACCTGGGTTGTAGGTTTACTCCCTGCCCTTGGCATGTGCAGGAGGCAGCACAGGGGGAGTGCTGCTCAGCCAGAAGCCGGGCTAATGGCTGGTAAGTGCAGCGGCAGTGGCAAGAGTCTCTCCCACCTCTGCAGCAGCGCTAAGGATGTCCAACTGACGGCTTAGGCCCACTCCCCACACCATCAGTCAGACATCCCCTGAGCGCTCCCAGACTGCAAGAGGGCACAGGCTGGGCTGAGGGACCCCTATCCCCAAGTGCATGAATTTCGTGCATTGGGCCTCTAGTGTACTATAAAATATTTTTATCATAGGTATCTTTATGAACATGGCTTGTTTACTATATTTCAATGAGCCAAAAAATCATATGAAACTGGCAACAAGGCATTGATTTATTTTAAAATAATTGCACCTCCCTTCAGATTTTAAGAAAATTTAAATGGTTTTATAATTAGGCATCACACGTTTTTACAGATAGGAGTTAGAAAATTTTCAGCTAAAAAAATGTGCAAATTTTTTTTTAAATATATTTTATTGATATTTCACAGAGAGGAGGAAGGGAGAGAGAGAGAGAGCTAGAAACGTCGATGAGAGAGAAACATCCACCAGCTGCCTTTTGCACACCCACTACCAGGGATGTGCCCGCAACCAATGTACATGCCCTTGACCGGAATCGAACCTGGAACCTTTCAGTCCACAGACCAACGCTCTACCACTGAGCCAAACCGGCTTCGGCAGAAATGTGCAAATTTTTCTGTTACTTTAAGAACAACATAATGGATATTTCATCTTTTTCATTACAGCCTTTAAATCTGTAAGACAGCAGCCCTCACGAAATGTTGCTACTAAGAATTATTCAGAGGTAAGAAAAAAGTTATACAGTTGTGTTTAATAACGTGTGTATTCTGAATTACAAATTGTCTCTTCTTTGACAAAGTAAATAAAAGAAGAAAACTTGTGGAACATTAAAGCTGGAGAAAACTTTACCAATGATCTAGAAAGGGCTTCTAGGATTTTTTTGTTTTGTTTTGTTTTAAAAAATAATGGTTCACATAAATCTATAAATGTCTGCATCTAGTAATATTTTTAAAGATAACAGTGTTGAAACAAATAACCCATGCATTAAATACTAATTTAGAAGTATTCTCAGTTCAGACAGAGGTCTTATTTATGGCAGGCTTCCTTTTGCTGCGTATATTCTCAAACTCTGACTTGTGCCTTAATGGCTAAAGCAGGATTCAGGCAACTAAAAGGTTGAAGTCGAAGGACCTCTGTGTTCAGTTCTAGATATAACACAGGCCTCTGCTCTTCCTTTGCCTTCCAACAAGAATCCAGTGTGGGCTTGACTCTTGTTACATCACTTGCAGAACCCTGGTGTCTTCACTCCAGGCCAGAGCTCTTCCTTCTATATCAGGGCTTCTCAGCAGCAGCACTGTTGAGGTTTAAAAAAAAAAATTATTGATTTTTAGAAAGAGAAGACGGGAGAGAAACATCAGTTTGTTGCTGCACTTATTTGTGCATTCATTGATTGCTTATTGTATTTGCCCAGATCAGGTGATGATGCTCTAACCAACTGAGCTACCCAGCCTGGGCACTGTTGACATTTTGGACCCGGATAAGTCTTTGTTTTGAGGGACACACTGTAGGATGTTTAGCAACATCTCAGCCTCTACCCACTAGATGCTAGTAGTACCCACTGAGTTCTGACAATCACAAATGTCTCCAGACATTTCCAGGGGTTTATGGGATGTGAGTGGGGCTTAAAAACCACTGCCCATTGAGACTCATTGCTCTATATCATACTGCCTCAGCAGCTTTTTCTAAAATTTTATTCTTTTTTAAAAAATATGTTTTTATTGATTTTAGAAAAAGAGGAAAGAAGAGGGATAGAGAAATAGAAACATCGATTAGCTGCCACCTGCATACACCCTAGTAAGGGTTGAGCCTACAACTCCCAGGCATGTGTCCTGACTAGGAATTGAACCAGTGATGGGTTCATGGGTCAATGCTCAACCACTGAGCCATATTTTTTAAAAATATATTTTATTGATTTTTTTACAGAGGAAGGGAGAGGGATAGAGAGCTAGAAACATCGATGAGAGAAAAACATCAACCAGCTGCCTCCTGCACACCCTCACCGGGGATGTGCCCGCAACTATGGTACATGCCCTTGACCGGAATTGAACCTGGGATTCTTCAGTCCGCAGACTGACGCTCTATTCACTGAGCCAAACCCGTTTTGGCGCACTGAGCCATATTGTTTGGGAAATTTTTATTCTTTTTGATCTCTCGAGTACCTGGCACAGTTGACTACTACAATTTGCAGAAAACTTCTCTGTCCTGATTCTAATCTTGTTCTTTTATCTCTTAACTTCATCCTTTTTATTCCTATCTTCTTTCTACTATTCTCTTACGTGTGGGTGTACTAGTGCTAAATAACTTTTATCCTGAGCTTTTTTTTATTCTTTTTAATCAACTATTGCCTGCTCATATTTTAAGATCATATCTAAAAAAGTTATTGTCATGTTCGCAAGGTATTTTCCCATCTAGATTTTTCTATTTTCAGTCATGAACACGAGTTTAAAAAGAACAAGCCATGCCAAACCAGCTTTTTTTTTTTTCTTTTTCTTTTTTTTGATTGAGGTTATACATATTAGGTGACTGTTGAATCCATTTAATTCCTTCAGAGCACATAAGACAATCTTCTGATAGTTTTATGGACAGACTGCAGGACTATTGACTAAATTCATAACCGCTTGTACAATTGCATTTTAATGACTTTTGATTAATAGTTCAATGTCAATCTCAAGGGTGAGGTCTCAGGCGCTATCTTTTCAGTATTTTGTCCTTGGCTTTACGTTAGGTGAAGACATAGCAAATGTGTTATTAAGTGTCAAGATAACACAAAATGTAGATGAATGGGTAGCATTTTGGATGTTAGAATCAAGAATCACAAATATCTTTACTGGGGCTTAAAGCCAACCAATTGTATTTAACAGGGATAAATGTAACAGAAAGATAGATACCTAGCACTTCCCACCCAGTCTTACACCTCATTTAAGATTTGAGCTCGAACACCAATGGTTGAACTCATTAGAACCCAAGAAAATCACAGGGCCTTGTCTTTACCTGACCCTCTGTGAGTATTCAGCAGGCCAGCTGCATGTTCCTCTAGGTCACATGTGTCAAACACAAGGCCCGCGGGCCAAATCCGTCCCGCCAGGCCTTGCAATGTGGCCCGCACCACGCTGTCATCACTGCACTCCGCTGCGTTTCCATCACAATGACAGTTTATGACTGTTCAGTAAACCATTCGGCCCGCGATTTAGGCTGGATTTTAGATTTTGGCCCCTTCTCTGATTGAGTTCGACACCCCTACTCTAGGTACCCAGGCTGCCCTGGTGGCCTAGAGAGCAGCAAAGTACTGTTTGTGAAATGAAGAGGAACCTTGGAGGAGGCCAGGCTGAGCTTTAGTTTTAATAGTTGCTCATTACGTGATTTCTGCCTCCTTTATTTTGACTGGTTTTGTATATTAAAAAACAACAACTTGAGATTCAGTTATTTATTTTAAATTTAAATTTCTATTCCCATTTGTTGCTTTGTTCTCTTCCACTGAGATGATTGAGGTGGATGACTCTGATGAAGAAGACCTGCTTCCTACCACTTCAAAAACAGATCAAAGGTAGGTACAGTGGCTTCCTACAAAAAGAAACATTTGAAAAAATTAAAAGTTATCTAGAATTTTACTAATACATATTACTGTGCCACAGATTTATTTTCAACTAGTCAAAAATGTAGAGAAGTGAAAAATAGACCCAAGGACTATTTCAAAGAGGAGATTCAGCATTATTACAAGTATTTTCACCGAAAATGTAAATTACTGTATTTGTTTCCTTCTGTCTTTATTGGCCACTGATTTTCTTGATGGAGTACTATGTTCTCCCTAGTGAACAGAAAATAGTTTTGCATTTTGCTAATGCTTGATTTCAAATTCTCTTCATCATCGTATCTTTATATACTGAGTTATACAGGATGCCATGCTAACCACTGAAGAGAGGATCACGTTGACTTTCTCTGCCCTCAGAGTACTTACATACTTTTCCTGTCCTTTTTGGGTTTTGCCTCTTACCCAAAGGCTTGACTTGGTTCAGTATCACTATTTTCTTCTCTGGGTTAACATTTTAGATGAGTGCTGTTTAACTAAAGCTCACTTAATGAAAATTTTTACTTATGAAAATCGTCAACAGTTTTTTAATAATTTATTTCCTGTGTGAGCATTATATTAGGTCTGATGGGGGACGTAAGTGTTTTAATCAGCTTACTGCTTTCAGGCAACAAATTATAGCGGAAAAGAGAGATGAACACATTTCAATCCATTAAGGGATGATTGAGTCAGCACATAATTACATGTGGAATTTTATTACACAAACTAAGTCTAAGTGCAAACAGGCTCTCAGCAAGAGGAGCAAGCAGTGAAGACTCTCATAGAAGAAGCAGGGAGTGATATTAATAGAGGGAGTAAAATTACCTGCGATTTTAAAGATAGGAATTACTTGGATTAGTGGGGTGGAAAAATGACAGCCAATGGTAATGACATGAGCAAGAGCTAAAGAAATCAGGCAGGGAGATGGAGGGAAAAGCTCTATCTCAATATGTCTCAAACTTTTTTTCATGATCTTAACCGTTTTTTCATTAGCTAAGGATAAAAATTAAATTTGATTTAAATTAATTAAAATTATTTTAATTTAGAAATTAAATACTAAAGAATGGCATTTTGCTGGGTAGGATTGAGCTTGAGAGAGCCAGAAACCATTGTAACATCTAAGATTTTCACCTCCTCCATTTCTGGGAACCAATTTTCTTTCTGTGGATGTGAGATTGTATGGTTTATGTGAGTTAAAGGTCGATGTCAGAAAAATAGGTATGTATAGTTCCACATCTACTTTTTATTCAGTTAAACCCAATGCCAGGAGCTGGGGATAGAAAGATGGAATAACTTTAGACATGGAAACTTTGAGATGCTTGTGAAATTTATATGAAGGGCGGGTATAGATGATTGGATATAAGACTCCAGAACTCAGATAAGAGGTTTGAATGGTGCCTTTATTTACCTTTCAGTAGCTTGTAACTTGATATGCAAGTCACTGGAATAGATTGATCACCTTGAAAGAGAATGTAGAGAGAAAAGAGAGTTCATGTGTTGATCCTGAGGTAACAACCTTTAGACTGTAGGTAGAGTAGAAGAGGCAACAAGAAAGACATGAGAAAAACCAAGGAGAATACAGAGTTGCCAAAGCTAGTGCTGGCCTTTGCAGAAGGAGTGAAAAGGACCGAGGTGGGCTCAGAGGCAGGTCAGCTTTGTAGTTGTGGTAGGTAGTTGAGGATAATTGAGGTAGTTAGCTCTTGTTGAGAGATTTATTGGAAGAATATCAGCATGACTCAGTCTATCGAAGGAAGTTCCTTTCTATGTACCACTTGTTTGTTCTTATCTTTGTAAATTAAAACACACACAAGCAAAAAAACAGGGCTAGCTTTCTGTTTTGTTTTTCTGTAGTGACTATAGTTCAGCTGTGTAGGTCATTGTTTTTTATTACCAGAACTAATGAAAATACTGTTTTAGGATGTTTGACATATACTTAAGGCTATTAAAGGAAAAATATCTTGATTTTATTAGCATTTGGGGTTGTCTACTTTTCAGTAAAATGTTGGTTGGGCTTCTTCTTTACTTATGAAGTGGTAGTAACTGAGTATTTAGCACTTCCTATGTGTCAGGCACTCTTTTCATCATTTCCATTTGAATTAGCTCATTTGGAGCTCACAGCCACTTCAGGAAGTAGATATAGCTTACTACTACCTTACCCCATTTTACCTTTGTAGACAGTGCAGAGGGTAGGCTAAGTAACTTACCTAAGGTCACCCAACTACATGGCCGCGCATTCAGCTCCGGAACTTGTCTCTGCTATTGCTTCTTTTTTTTTCTTTTTTCTTTTTAAAAAAATATATTTTATTGATTTTTTACAGAGAGGAAGAGAGAGGGATAGAGAGTTAGAAACATCGATGAGAGAGAATCATCAATCAGCTGCCTCTTGCACACCCCTACTGGGGATGTGCCCACAACCAAGGTACATGCCCTTGACCGGAATCAAACCCGGGACCTTTCAGTCCACAGGCCGACACTCTATCCACTGAGCCAAACTGGTTTCGGCTGTTGTTGCTTAACACAACAGACCAGCTCTCAGATTGTAGTGCAAGCAATAAGAATCACTTAAATGATTCGAGGCAGTTAGAAATTAACATTCTGGCAAGAAATCTGACTTCAGCCTTGCAGACTTGTGCTTCTGATGAAAGCAACTGAATGGTACAATTTTAGGCTGTTTTTTTTTAATTACAGTAGAACCTCAGTTCTCGAACTTAATGCGTTCTGGAAGGCTGTTCGAGAAGCAATTTGTTTGTAAACCAAATCATTTTTCCCCGTTAGGAATAATGTAACTTTAATCTGTTCCAAACCCCAAAATAAGTCCTTGTTTTAACCTTTCTTATATACAGTAGGTGTCTAATGTACTGCTTAATCTATAAAAACTTCTTAAATGTATTGAACCGCTCCCTACTAGCCTTAACGGAATCACTTTCAGCACTCGCTCCAGGGGTGTGTTTCAGGTCATCACACAGCATCTTGGCTCGTTCAAATTTCACTGCGTTGGAAATGGCTGTCACTGGCTAACTGCTTTCTGTTTATCCAAACCAGCAACAGTTTTTCTACCTCGCCAATTGCCCATGATTGTGGTTTTGTAAGCACTTTCACACCTTTAGCAACATGAAGTACAGGAACTGCTGGCACATAGTAACAACGGTATGAGTGCTTATTAAATAAATATAAAAGGCCAGGGAAATAAAGCAAGAGTGATGGCAAGAGTGGAAAGCAGTAACAGCACTAATAATTTTTGGAAGTAAAGTTTAAAAAGGAAATAATTTCCAGCTGTAAAAGTCCCTTCTGCCGCATGGGCAATGGAAAGCCTGATTTTCCCTGAAAAAAAAAAATTGTTCCAAACTCTGCCGTTGTTGTACTGGGACTAAGAGGACCCTTTCAGATTTGATACTGGCAGATTCTAACCCTCTTCTTAATGCAGCAAGCCAGAGAAGATCTGGCTCCATCCGGCCAGCTGGAGGAGGAGACACTGAGGGGATTCTATTAAGCCTTGCAGTGGGATAACTAACATTTTTTAGGATACTGTTTATGTGTCAGGCACAGCTTAAGGTCAGTTCAATATTATGCTTATAGCACTGCTACACCTGACTTACTGGCTGACCATCTCTAGACAGGATTCTAATAGATGGCTTTCAATTTGATACAACCCATCCCTTATTTTTGAGCCACACGTGAGGCTAATCAAATCAAACACTATCTTTTGACATCTGAGACAAAAGCCTATTTATTCAAACCTAAAATCAAAACAGTATAATCATTTCTTTCCCTTCTCACCATTGATTTCTGGGGACAGGAGTCTGTCACAGGTGAGGTCTCTAGGTCTCTGGAGAACTCTGATACAGAATTAGGGCTCTTGCTATGATCAAATGAACCAGCGTTCGTCCTAGGTGCCTGGCTTGTTTCTGCGCCCTGGGGGTTATTTGTCTAGGGAGAAATCAGAAACCAGAGTCTGGTCTCCGTGGGTGTTTCTTTCCATAACCTCCTCCACCTTCCCCCAAATCCCCTACAGGATCTGGTCACGAGCACATGCTTTATGCTTTTGATGATCTCCTCTCTGGCACAGATGGAAATAAATGAGCAATTTACCATTGCCTGTTTATATCAAGAAGAGAGAGATTCCGAAGCTGGTTTGGCCCAGTGGTAGAGCGTCGGTCTGTGGACTGAAAGGTCCCAGGTTCGAATCCGGTCAAGGGCATGTACGTTGGTTGCGGGCACATCCCCGGTAGGGGGTGTGCAAGCGGCAGCTGGTCGGTGTTTCTCTCTTATCGATGTTTCTAGCTCTCTATCTCTCTCCCTTCCTCTCTGTAAAAAATCAATAAAAAAATATATTTTAAAAAAAAAAGAACAGAGAGATGGAGACTCTTCAGATGGATCAGTTGATTAAATTCCTTGATCCTCTACCTATAAAGCTTAACAAATCCTCCTGTCCTTTACTTTTGTGCTTAAGAACCTGTGATGTTTGTGCTTCCTTCTGACATAAGACCTCTTGATTCTCAATCTATTTGTCCAGAGAAGAACTTCAGACATATTTATTTTGTTAACATCCCAAAGCATCTCAGAGTTAGCTAAAAATTCACAACACTGTTTTCACTTAAGATGGGAATCAGCAAAAATTTTTTGTTTTTTAAATATATTTTTATTGCTTTCAGAAGAGTGAGGGAGAGGGAGATAGAAACATCAATAATGAGAGAGAACCATTGATCGGCTGCGTCCTGGGATCAAGCCTGCAACTCAGGCATGTATCCTGACTGGGAATCAAACCGTGACCTCCAGTTCATAGATCAATGCTAAACCTGACTGTGAGCCACGTCAGCGGGGGAGCAAATGTTTTCTTAAAGGGCCAGGTGGTAAATATTTTAGGCTTTGCAGACCAAGAGGCAAAAATCAAGAATATTATATAATTACTTAGATAGCCATTTTAAATGTGACTGTTTCAAAATGTGAACATTCCTAGCTCACTGGTGGGCTGGGTTTGGCCCACTAGCCATGTTTGCAAGCCCCTGAGCTAGGGTGGCATACTTGTTTTATTAATAAAAAAGACCCAGGAATATGAGTTCCACTACCACAAGTTAAGCTTCATGAGGGTAAGAATAATGGTTTTCTTGTGCTCTGATATTTCCCAGGACCTATCGTAGTACCTGGCCAGGAGCAAGTACTCAGTAAGTCCTTGCTGTTTGGTTTGGGTTGAACATGAATAATACAAACAGGCAAGTGGTGAGCCTTTCCTAAGATCCTTTTATCTATAATAGAAACAGAATTGAGATTTGAATGAAAAAATATTTCAGTATAGCCACAATTTGCAGGAGTGGGGGATGGTAGTAGACACTATATTGATAATACAAGAAAGGATCTGTATAATGCTTAATATATCAGGCACTGATCTAAGTGTTTAAGTATAGTAACACATTTAATCTTTGAAAAAACTATTATCCTCATTTTACAGTTGGGAACACTGAGGCACAGAGAGGCTCTCAGTAAATGGCAGAACTGGAATTCAGACCCTGGCCTCAGAGGCTGTTTCTCACTATTAAGTTCTTACTGCCTCTCAGGTAGAACAAAGGCAGTGTGTGGTTATTTTTATTCATGGTTACTACTAGAATGGAAAACTTAGTTAGAAAGGTACCTTTGCTGAGTTCTCTGGTTCATTTTCTCTGTTTTTCCCATATTTTTGCATCAGGTGGCAGAACACATCATCATCATCATCAAGCAAGCCCGCATCCCAGAGCCAAACAAGTAAAGGGGTCAATTTTGAATCAGATGAGGTAATAAAGTAATATAGTTAAATCTTAATTTTCAACTGCTTATAAATTTAAACAAGGGCTGTAGTTGCTGGAATTATTTTTTAAAATAATTTTAGTTAGTAATTGAGTCAATAAGTAGCATCTGTTGAGTGCTCATCATGTAAATTCCTCAGATGTAAAAGGCCTGCAGATTTTTAAAATATTTTACTCACTCAACTCTTATTTCATTTGCCCTGTTAACAATAGGATCAGAATAGTTTTTTCAACTTCTGTCATTCATATTTAGAAAAATGATAGCAATGATATCCTGATATTTAAAAATAAAAATATTTATTTTTAAATCCTCACACTGAGATTTTTTTTTTCTCCATTGCTTTTCAGAGAGAGGAGGGAGAGAAAGGAGGAGAGAGAGAGAGAGAGAGAGAGAGAGAGAGAGAGAGAGAGAGAGATATGAAGTGAAAGAGGCATATTGATTAGTTGTCTCCCACACTCACCTGACCAGAGTGAGGAGTGAAACTGAAACCCAGCTACCTGCCTTTGACTGGGAATCGAACCTGAGACCCTTCGGTGTTGGGCAAATGCTCTAACCACTGAACCATACTGGCCAGGGCCTGATAACTTTTAATGTTACTTTAATATAAATTTATTAAGTACCCACTATATGCTGCTCATATTTCATATATGAGATGGTATAGGGTAGTGATTTTCTTGTTCAGACATTGTCTGAAATGCCTTATAGCGGATGTAATGGGGAAGAAACTTCAGTTCAAGATATTTCTGGGACAGAAAATCTGATCTAACTTAAATGAGAAGGGAAAGGAAGAGGTAGAATCAGGACTTTGTTTCTGATTATTTATTTGCTTATTTGTTTCAGCTAAGTTGAATGAAAGCTACAGGACTGAAGGAGCTGGCCTTTCCCTCTCCTCAAGTGGCCTTTGCTCGTTTTTGTTGAATTGTTTAAAGATGCTGCTCTTAAGCTGACCACCCCCTTCATTTACTTATTTTATTTTAATTGTGGTAAAAACACTTAACCTAGAGCTTTACCATCTTAACAATTTTTAGGAGCACAATTCACTGTTGAGCATTTTCTCATTGTTGTGCAGCAGGCTGCCAGAACACAATCGTCTTCCCAAACTAATCATCTCTGCTCATTGAACAGCTCCCCATTTCCCCCAGCCCCTGGCAGCCAGCATTCTGCTTTCCACCTCTATGAATCTGATTACTTTAGGTAGATAACCTATATAAGTGGAGTCATACAGTAGTTTGCCTTCTTGGGACTGCCTATGTGAGCATAATGTCCTCCAACTTCATTCCAGTTGTAGCATGTGACTCGCCCCTCTTATTTTGAGCTTCTAATGCTGTCATGTTCCCTGTATCCCAGCCATGGTTTTAGAAGACTCACCAAATTCAGGCTGCAGAGAAAAACTGCAGCTGGAACTCAGTCTGCCAATTAAAACCTAACATGTTGCCTCCAAGAAGAAAGTGAGAGTTGACTGCTTTGTTAATCTCAAAGCTGCTAGAGATACCAATGGGCTACATGTTACAGTTTAAAAATGTATAAGGTTCATGCTAACTGCAAAGAATTATTAGCATATACTCTGTTAAACTTCGACTTGAATTTATCTCTGGTTTATTATTAAGTTTTGCCTTTGAGAGTAGCAGAAATGAATCAATTAATGAAAGTGAATTTTTATTTCTCCAGGCACCTATTTCTCACCAGAGATAGCTAACTTAGCCAACAAAGTCTAACATCAAATAATTATTCCTTTTAATCATGTCTTAAAAGTAACAAGTAAAAAATTTGTGAAAAAATATTTATGAATATTTAGTTGTAGAATAATAAAAAACCCAATTAAATGTTTTATTATCAAATTACGTAGCTTGTCTTATCTGAGGTTTGTTAGTTTTCATTCCCTTTAATTAAATTCTTGGTTAGTCTCTATTCTTATGAGACATATAATCTGCAGGCCAGCATCATAGAACTTTTTGAAAGTGAAATACTCTATTGATTTCTTTTTCCAAAAAAGATTTGAAAGATTATTTTGCTAGGTTTTTTCCTTGCATCGGTCCGAGTGGAGCTGTTTATTTCTGGTACTATATGAGTAATGAGAAATAACAATTACAGCTACTTCTGAGTGAGGTGATGTGGCTTCATTATTTTTTTGACTGAGTTTTCAAAACATTGACGACTCCAATAAGAAAATATAAATGAAAAATGCCTATTCAAAAACCAAGTAGAAATGACTTGCGGAGTAGTTCTTTTTCTGGCTTGCTTATGTTTATGAGCCTTTGTTAAGGTCAGTAGCTAAAGGAAATGTATATGATCAATATTGTAAGTGTATATGTGTGTATGTGTGTGTGTGTATATATACATATATACACACACACACACACACACACACACACATACCAGGATAAATATTTATTCTTACTGCTTGCTAAGGATAATTAGACTTATCTCAGCAGTGAAGTCACTAATAAGGAAAGAAGGAAGAGAAAACATAAATAGATAAATTATTCATATTTATAAAGGAAATAGAAAAATGAACATCTACAAGTGAAGGAGAAAATTATTCTTATTGGTATTGGTTTGCCATAAGAACTTCTATCTTGTCTCAGTGAAGTGTGCAGCCATCACTAAAATAACATTTGTATGTCATTTTAGGATGACGATGATGATCCATTTATGAACATTAGTGCTTTAAGAAACAGAAGATAATAGATTTAATGGCACTTTGAAGTTTTCAAGATTCAGGAAAAATCAAAATGGTACAAGCTAAGAGTTTACAGTTGAAGATTTTTAAAGGATTGCTGTTAACTGAAAAATCTGAAAGGAATGTACTTAACAGAGAAACTAATGTATGACAATTTCAATTTTTGGGTATCATTTCCTGAAGTGGCTCCATTACTTGAGAAACATCCCAGCTCAAGGACATATAATATAGCCTTAGTTTCCTTCATTTTATATTCTGGTTGTTAACATTACCTGGAAATGCTCTATAATATTTAGACTGTTATTTTCCCGACATATATTAGTGTATGTCTTAGTGAGAATGTTGCTTAAATATTAATCTTGAATAAGGATTAAAATAAATATGCCATTATACATTTCTGCTTCACAGTCAGTCTATATTGGTCTTTCAATGCAGTTATATTTAGCTGCAATTGAGAAAAAGATTTTATAAATTTAACCTCTTTATAATTTTAATAATTTATAGAGATTCTTGATGTGCTGTGAAACTGTGCTGAGCTTGCTGTTTGTTACTGAGTGTGTTCTCTTCCTAGTGCTAGTGGTAGTGTTAGCCACGGGGAGTTTGAATGGTTCAGATGTACCTCATACCTTGAGTAATTAGTTAGAAATTAATATTAAATAATAGAACAATCAACCAGGATGACTGACGTTTTTATTTCAGTTGTAGCAAAGACTTTAGAAGATTGTGTTCCCTTTGGGTGGTAGCAGTTTTCTCCATTCTTTCCCATTCTTTATGGTTCTCTCTTTCTGTCTCTCTCTCATCTGTTTCTAGGAGGAAAAGAAAGTGTGTTAAAAGGCCCCTGAGAGTATTCCTTCCCTTCACCTGTGATGCAGTTATAGTTAAAGACCCCCGTGGAAGTTGTAGATGGCAGAACAGCAGCCTGACATTTTGTCCCATGCAGAAACAAACCCTTGCCTGAGCAGTATTCATGTTCATTGGCATAGTCAGACCTGGAATGTGTCAATTATAGAAGAACATTTGCATAGTGGCTGCCTTTCTATTATGCCTCTGAAATGGCCTCGATAAAGAATTGTGATGTAGCACTCTAATGAGTTTCTTTAGAAACATTTTCTCTACCTAACTTGAGCATGAGGATTAATTTTAGCAGGCATCATTAAGTCACTGGAAGGCACTGTGAAATATTCTCAGGCACCTCTCCCCACATCTGTAATATTCCAAGTGTTTGAGTGAAGCCAAGGTGAAATGGGAACGAGAGTTGCTCTCAGTGATGGCATGGATGCTAGTTTGGATGGCAGACCCCTGCCCAGGCCAGCATCTACTACTGGCTCTACTTGCCTGCCTCTGAGACATGCTTGGGTGAGGCTCATCATGAGGGAGGTGGCCACTGAAGCATCCTGACAGGGTTCTGGGGAAAAAGAAGAAGGCTTTCTCTCTGTCTAAAAACTTCCTCTGAGTGAGAAAGAGGCACAAAATGCGATGCAATTAGCTGAGAGGTAAAATTCCCTTGAATTGGTCACTAGTGTGTCACTTGCTGGAAATAATGATAAATAAAACATGAAAGAAAAACTGCTGATTAACTTGTTGCACAGTTAAATATGCCATCTATCCTTGATGTTCTGTATTGATAGGGTCCGATTTAGGGGCTTGGAGACAGTTTTAGACATGTCAGTACAGGTGTGTGGAGGTGATTCCAGATGATTGGGGAGCATCAGCAGAAGCTCTTGGAGGCTGAGAGCAGCGATGAAAACATACTGAGGGGAAAAAATCCATCATTTACCAGAGAGTGCATCTCTTTCTGGTGTTTTGTTCCCTATCATAAAAATACAAGAGTGCATTCACAAGGTTATAGATGCACTATGGTTTTAGGTAATACAATTGGTGCTTAGAAAATTCAAGCATGTAGACATGTAATTTTTAAATTTAGATACATACACATTTTCTAAACTTTTAACATTGCAAAATATAACAACGGAAAAATCGTGGTTTAACAAATAAGTGTAAAGTGAGCCCTTACGGCGTCTCTGCAGCTCAGGAGAAGGGACATCACTGTGGGGAAGCTGGCGGAGGGAGCTCTCTGAGTGCCTTGACTTCTGTAATTCAGAAGCCTTTTTGCCACAAGGGGGTGTTTCCACCATTAGATGGCCGGTTGAAGATGCAACTGCAAATCTAAAATAAAAGTTAGTGTGATTTTGCAGTACATTTGGGACCTATGCAATAATACCCTATGCAGTAATACCAAAACTTGCCTTCTAATCTTATATAATATTATATGTACATTGCTTTATCTATTTTACCCGGCTCAGTCTGTTACTAAGGGAATTGCTGGTTTGATGCATTTTACATATTATAAAATAGGTTTGAGAAGGAAATGTTTTGTTTTGACAAAGAGAAAAACCTTTTATTTAGAAAGGTTGAATTAAAAAGTCTCCCACTGTAAAATTTTTTTCTGTTGAATGTACTATGTTTAAAGATATCTTTCCCCCAGTGTAATCTGATGTCTTTTTTCATATCTATCATATATTTAACTCATAGTATTTTGTGGAATTTTTAAAGCTACATTAACAGTATAATAAAGGTTTTATGGAATAAAGATTTGGCTTTTTGAGTCTAGAGAGCTTCCATGTTCTTGAATGAAAAATGTACACATTTCATCATTTGCTTATCACATTCCCTTTTAATATTTTTTAACTTAATGTTCATTAGCTAGATCTGAAAATACTAGGATTTCAGTTGATCTCTGAGAGCCAGTTCAAATAGCATGCAATTGCCATGGGTGATATTTGTATATCTTTGCCATGACTGATCACTAAACCTGGTTTTATTTTGTTGTTGTATCCCTTGAGGATATTTTTTTTTCCATTGATTTTTAGAGAGTGGAAAGGAAGGAGGGAGGTGAGAGAGAGAAACATCCAGGGCAGGGAAGGAATCCACAACCCAGGTACATGCCCGTGACCTGGAATCGAACCTGCAGCAACATTGGGTGGTTGGGCCGATGCTCTAATCACTGAGCAACACCAGCCAGGGCTGATTTTAGTTGCTTTTAAATTGTAAGGGAAGTACATAATAGTCTTCACAATTTAGATATTGAAATATATATCAAAACATGGATATTTCCCTGTAATCCTATCCCCAGAAATAACTCCTCAAGGATAAAGTAAATATTTCTCCAATTCCTTTTGGCATGACTATTAGCAAAATATGACGTAATTTAATTGTCGAATTAGAACCCCAGATTGTATAGTCAGATATTTTAGTCCACATATCAAGGCATATAGGTTCACCTTGCTGTTTATCTTGACATTCTGATTTTCCCACATCAGCTTTTAATTGCACCGTCCTTGTCTGTTTCGAGGGGTAATTACACTGCTTTTCTGTGTGCAATTTTAACGTTATCACTCAATTTGGGTCAAATAGAAGAATATTTCTTCTGTGTGCCTTGCAGTCAGAAATAGTAGAGTGATTTCCAGAGGGCTCTTAGCCATTGACTGCACATGATGGTTGATTAGCTGGGACAGATGTAGTGGGCACTGGGCTGGTTGGCCCGGCCCCACTCTCCTGCCTCCAAAGCCACTGCCGTGCGGATGATTCATGTGCAGATGCCCAGCTCTAGTGCATTAAGTACCCTTATCACACTGTGCCTGCTTAGTTTCAAGGGTTTTGTTTATGATACTTAAACATCAGCATTTTCTCCTGATAAGCTGATACAACGCAAGTCACCCTATTGATGCATGTGAACCGATTTGAACTGAATCTACAGTCCATATTCCAATTTTGTCAGTTGTCCAAGTAATTTCTTAGCATGTTTCCCCCTTCTAGTCTAGGATTTTATTTTATTTTTTGAATATGTAGGAAATTAACATGCTTCCAGAAATCTGATGCAGCAAAACCATTCAAGATGTGTGCTCTGCCCTAACTGATTTGACTCAGTGGATAGAGCGTCGGGCTGCAGATTGAAGTGTTCCAGGTTTGATTCCGGTCAGGGTCATGTACCTTGGTTGCAGGCACATCCCCAGTAGGAGGTGTGCAGGAGGCAGCTGATCTATGTTTCTCTCTCATCGATGTTTCTACTCTCTATTCCTCTCCCCTCCTCTCTGTAAAGAATCAATAAAATATATTTTTAAAAAGATGTGTGCTCAAATCTTATTCCCTTTCCCTATCCTTTTACTCCTTTCTGCTCCACTGGTCTGTCTCTTCATAGACCTCCTGCACAGGTTTAAATAAAGAGGCTGTTGTGCCACACCAGCACAGCCAAGGGTTCGGTGAGCCTGAGGGAGGACGGTGAAGGTGATGAATAAAGACAGACAGAGAATAAGCTGGGTTTATGTGGATCTTCTGTGCCTGACTGAGGCCACAGAACAGATCCATACTGCAAGGCTGATGCTTTATTTATAGTCAAGGACAAACAAGATAATTTACAATGTTCTTGTAAGTTTCATTTGTTTTGGCAGCACTTGCTGCCTCCCCCACAGCCCATTATATTTCCAGGAAAGATCTAGGAAGCAGTCACAAGATCAAGCTTTATGTTTAGAGGACTGTGCCCTCTAAGCTGGGACATGTTTGCAACTTTGCCAGCAGGTTAGCCCGAGGCTTAACCCTATAACCACTCCCTACATCTCGCCCTTTCTTTTAGTTTTAAGCTACTAATAATGGAAGTAAAATTTAAACATCAAGAACAAATCTCTGACTATTAAAACATTAACAAAACAATGCCAATGCAAAACCCAGACATGGCTGTTAATAAAAGAATGCCAATGCAACACAACTATAATGCCAATGCAACACAACAATAGAGAAATCAAACTACAGTAACATTTTCCTACTATCAATAAATGAAAGTTTCTTTTGCCGATTTACTCAAGAGTCCTCAGACTTGGCTGTGCGAGGGTTTGCAGAAGCCTGGCAGCTAACCAATGCCTGCATGGCCAGAAACATGGTTGAGGGAGTAGCTTCCACTTCTTGCTTTTCTGCCATCTGCTGAGCCTCAGTTGTTAACTCCTTCAGCTGACCCCATGTTGGCACCTCGGTCTCTTGCATAGCCTTCGTCATCTTCCTTCTCCGCTTTGCTGTCATTAGGGCAACTTTCCGTCTTTTTTTTCTTTTTATTTCTTTATTGATTAAGGTATCACATATTTGTTCTCAACCCCCCATTCAAATGACGAGACAAAGAGCTTATCTGGGTCCATTGTGGTGATGCACATAACACTCTGGCACTCAAATTGGCTGCACTGCTCCTTCTGAAAAGACAAACACAACCTCTTCCCTACATCATTACTGGATCTGGTCCAAACCGTTGTCCAGTTTGTGCATCCTTCCATCGGGCTAACCCCGAGGATGCTATTATATAGGAGGTCCGATGCCTTTCGGCTGCTGTACAACCCTCTGCATCGCAATTCAAAAAATTTAAAGTATAAAGAACATGACTGAGTTTGTTTTAAGGTGACACCTAATATCTATCTCCTCCTTTCTGTTTTAATAATTACATTATAAGAGTATGATTTGTTCTTTCCACTATTGCTTGACCTTGAGGGTTGTAAAGGATACCAGTTTTATGTCAAATTTGATATTGCTGACAAAAATGTTGAAAATGTGGGTGCATTGTCTTTAGCTCTAAGGGAGGACCTAGTACTGAAAAGGCAGCTAGGCAATGATTAATTACATACTTGGCACTCCCATTTGGGGAGTTGCAAAGATAAAGCGAGAGCAGGTATCTACATTACCATGTACCCATCTATGCTTACCAAATTCCAGTATGTGAGTGACATCCATTTGCCAAATTTGATTAGGTTTAAGACCCCTAGGACTAACCCCCAACGATTGTACAGGGCAATGAATTACACACTGAGAGCACTGCTTAACAATTTGACAAGCTTGCTCCCGAGAAATACCAAATTGTTTGCTTAAGGCAGCAGCATTTTGATGATGCAAAGCATGGGAGGACCGGGCAAGAGAAAATGGGGTAGCCTCTTGCATTACTACAAGGAGGCAATCAATAGCGTCATCGCCTATTGCTAATGGACCAGGGAGACCTGAATGAGACCGGATATGACCAATAAAGCAGGGAAATTGTCTTTCTCTAATGACTTTTTGAAGGTTGAAAAATAAATGAAAGAGTTCCTCTGAATTAGTGTGCCCTATAGTAGCTGTTTCAATAATTTTGGCCATACTTACCACATAGGCACTAGCACTATATGGGTTAATGGATTCTGTAGCAAAATCTGTCAAGGCATAGATAAGAGCTTGTATTTCTACCTGTTGTGCTGAAATATAAGGGGTTTGAAGGACCTTTGCACCTCTGCTGCGGTAGTATCCAGCTTTTCCAGAACTGGATCCATCTGTAAAAATGGTTAATGCCTGAGGTATAGGTAGTGATTTCACTATCTTTGAGAAGGTAAAGGTAGTGACTGAGAGAAATTGTAAAACCTTATTTGCTAGATAACGATTACCAACCTGTCCGGAGAAATTAGCAAGTGCAACTTGCCAATTTGTTGATCGTTGCCAGAGCCAATCTTGCTGTATAGCTGTAAATGGCACCACAATAAGGTCAGAGTCTTGGCCCAAATGACCCCAGTGGGTGTATGTGTCATAGGGAGAATTAAAACCTGTAAAGGAAGGGAGTAATCAATTCTAGTAAGTTGTGCTGAACTTAAGACATCCTCAACTTTATATAAGGCTGTCTTGGCTTCCTCTATCAAGCAGTGTGGGGATGATGGAGATGAATCTCCCCTTAGTATATGAAACTAGAGGCCTGGTGCACAAAATTAGTGCACAGGATGTGTGTGGGGAGGGGAGGGGGTGTCCCTCAGCCAAGCCTGCACCCTCTCCAATCTGGGGACCCCTCAAGGGATGTTCAACTGCCTGTTTAGACCCACTGGGATCGGGTCTAAACAGGTAGTCAGACATCCCTCTCACAATCCAGGACTGCTGGCTCCCAATTACTCACCTGCCTGCCTTCCTGATTGCCCCTAACCACTTCTGCCTGCCAGCCTGATCACCCCCAACCATTCCCATGCCAGCCTGATTGATGTCTAATTGCTCCCATGCCAGCCTTTTTGCCCCCAACTTCCCTCCTCTGCTGGCCTGGTCACCCCTAATTGCCCTCCCCTGTATGGTTGATTGCCTCCAACTGTCCTCCCTTGCAGGCCTGGTCCCTCCCAACTGCCCTACCCTGCTGGC